TGTACCAATCCAGCTTTTTCAGCTCCGTACTTTGACTATCTGCCAATATCCGGGCAGCAATAGAATAAAAAGCAGAGGGAACTACCTAGACCATGATCTTTTGCTTCGTTTCAGTGCACATTACATGAAGAAATAACTATTATTAAGCACTTTTCAATGTTAAATCTTTGGATTAAGATATGAAAAAAAGTGTATTTTCCCTCTGCTATAAAATATTGGATTATCAGATGTTAGTATTGTTACATCCCTATTATCTAAGTGTAAGAACAGGAAATGGCTTTTATTTATTTAAGACACAGTAAATTTATTACACAAGAGATCCAGTTGTGTTCGGTAACGGTTATTTATCCTTCAAATAACCACTGAACAACCGATTTCAGCTCCAGCAAATTTTTCAGTATCAGTATTGGTACATCTTGGAATCACATGCATTTAAGTGACGTTTTTAGCAAATACTTTAGAGATGTAAAAAAACATGAACAGATTTTAAAGAGATCTGATAATGTTTAATTCAAGTGATAAATTATTTAATTCATACAATTTGCTACTTTGTTCTGATTCTGAATTTGTAATGAAACATGCCCAACCCTATTGACCACTCTAAATATTTTAGTGCTGTTGTCCTCTCCGGATGCAAAGTCACCATTGTAAAAGGTACTTTGTTTATTCTTAGGCATTACTCAGCCCAATGTGTCGCCTCCAAGTCTTTAAAAAGCTAATTAGATTTAATGCACCACGCAGAGGGCCTCATGAGAGAAGTCAAGTCCATGTCTTCTGGATCAGTGAGCACTCCACACGAACATGTCTAACAGGCAACATCCTTACATAACATCAACATATAGGCTCTGAACAGTACGTTAATCGGACAAGAGGCTAAATGACTTGGTACTTACTGAATTAAAGATTCACTATGTAGCTTCTCTGATGGGAATACACTACCTGCTAGTCTCCATGGAGAATATATTACATTATTAGTTTGTCTGGGATGTTCCACAACATGGCATTGCGTGCATTCTTGCTCACTTCTCCATAGATCTGACTTATAACTATCAGCAGATGGTAAATCCACCACAACAAAAGTTTTACAGTGCGCCTTTAACTGGGAAAATAGTACTTTTCTTTGTATTTTTAACATCATCAGCAAAATATTTTAACCAAATACTGAACATAATCAACTCATGTCAGGTGTCATGTGATGAATACCAGCCCGAGCGTCCCCCTGGCTTTAAAGTCCTTATGTTGCTTATGCTCAACATGAACAAATATAGTAACTTAGTTCATAGAGGGTACAAATCAGGGGGACTTTGCAGCTTGGGGACCTTTCCAGCTGATTCCCATTTTGGCCTAATAGCAGTAAAGGTAGTATGCAGGTAGTAGGAGCAATGATGTTAGTAGTATTTCTACTAGTAGTAACGAATAAATGACAGTCACAATGTTTGAATTTAAAAGATCATTTTAAAAGTATCTGGGTGGTACTGATACATATACTTACAACAATGCCAAAATGGATATTAAGTGGTGCTTTAAAATCTGTTATACTAGTACTAACAGCAGTAGTAAAAGCAGTAGCCATAGTACAAGTAGTAATATGAACATTTTTGCCTTGATTGTAAAGTGGGTATGGCCTTTTGAGTTCAGTGATTGTGATAATGCTACTGCTGCTACGAGTACTAATTGTGTGGTGGTGAAGTAGTAGTAGTAGTGGTAAAGTTGTAGTAGTAGTAGTAGCAGTACGTGTTTTGACAACTATTTCACCTCTCCTAATCAATACTTGGAAACAATAATAGCCCATTCTCATTGATTCCAGTGTCCCACAAAAGCTGTAGTTTTTCCATCGAGTTTACATTGACAACATTCCCTTATCAATGGCTGCAGATAATTACCTCTGCAGCTCCACAAACACCACCAAACCATGTCATGTTTGTCGAATGCACTCTCACTTAGCTCACAAAGTTCAGCAGGAAGTGGCATCACCGGCAAACTACAGCTGCCAACCATCACACGTTTTCATTCCACTGGCTGGTTACACGGCATTCTCAGCATTTTTAGCCTTAATCAATCCCCTAATTTGGTATTCTAAAAGGAGGCGTTTGAAAAACACAGAGTCGGCAATAAAAGGGACAACTTGTACCCCAAATTTGGAACCTGTCCGGATTTTAAGAAGTGCTGCTTGTGCACTATAGCGAGACTGTATGGTCGAGAGGAGCGGCCAAAATCTGTTCTTTAAGCGTAACAGTAATTCATCAGTTTGAAGTAAAGAGTCTGCATCCAATTTATAGCAAATGGTCAAACTCTTACCGTAGATAGTAGCCAAAAATACTTCTAAAGAGTGAAATGAGTACTCAAGAAAAAGCTGAAATTCTTTGTAGCTTTGCCTTAAAAAAATAGCAATATTAAACGTATTACTTATTGTTTATTACTATAGAGATATTATTGCTTTGCCTGAATGTTTCAGAACATGGCATTAAACTTCTCAATCTCCATGGAGACAAGCAGGTGACAACATCAGCGATTAACTATCCAAATAAATGCAGGATAGATAAATATTCCCCATTCACAAAAGCACATAGTGGTCAATCAGCTAGAAATGTTCCACGGTCCAGCTTTAAAGGGACAATTCGGAATTTTGGACATAGGACCTCATTTCCTAGTGATCCAGAGTGTTGGAGACGTGTGGAGAGACTTAATTTGAAAATTCCATCCAGTCCTTGTATTTGCAGAGGTCGATGGTGATAGGATAGTGCATGTCAATGGCCATAGTTATCCTGCCACTAAAAACAGTCTCACCCACTCCACAAAACACCCGAAGCAAATCTATTATTACACCAGACTGTCGATGTAAATGTCTGTGTCGATAGAATAATGTTTGAATTAAAACTAACCTTGCATCTCATGAATAGTCAGATGTTGAGGGACTATTTTCTCATATATCAGTCCGCGGCTGCCAAGCTTTCTAGCAGGAAGTACCACTCGCTGCTGCTGCTCAGACATAAATCCTTCAAATGCAAGATTGGTTTTACTTCTAAAATTATTCTATAGACACAGACATTCACATCGACAGTCTGGTGTAATAATAGATTAGCGACGTCTGCAAATACAAGGACTGGATGGAATATTTTAAAAAGTATCTCCACACATCTCCAACACTCGGAAAGTAGGAAACGAGGTCCTATTTCCAAAATTCCAAACTGTCCCTTTAATTTATCCTCCTATGGTTTTGGTACACTTTAGAAATAAATAAATATAGGGTTTTTTATTACGATTGCTTAAAATCCAGAGCAACCGATGGCCAATAATCTTTGCCAATACTTTTGAGCCAATATATAAGGTAAATTTTGATAATTACTCTCAAATTATGTAATTTGAATTTACTACAAACACATCCACATTCTTTATTTACCACAATTCCAAATCTCATTCCATTAAAGTGTTAAAATTAAGCCTTGTGGGTAATCCTTTCAAAGCAGATCAGCCAAAACAAAGTATCGGCCTGTGCTGGAGATTAAAGTCCGACAACTGATACTCCAAAAAGTGCAAATATCATCCCTATATATCGGCATATCTCTAGTACATTTCTCAACTTGTTTGTTAACTCAATTGCAATAAACCTAACAAGTGTAATCTGATTTTATCCATACAACCCAGCACCACTCAGTGTTTAATTCACCAAGATCCTTCACAGCTTCTGCCATGAAGTAATCACCATTTCTAAATCCTTAAATCCTTAACTTCTACTGCATAGAGCCTAGAAATTAGTATCCACCCACAAGCAGTGTAATAGCTAGGCCTGTCACAGTTACAAAGTTTCAAGCTTGATATATTGCTGAAGAAAATATAGACGATAAACGAAAATACTGAAATTGATTTATGATACTGTCAAAAGAACAGGTTTAAGAACAAGTTTAAACCATAAAATGTAAAATACAGCTAAAAAAAAACACTAATTGCAATTAAAAAACAGCAGAAGTAGTAAAAGAAGAACAGAAAAATTACAAAAGTTCCCCACTAGTACAAAGAAAAAGTGCCAATGATAAATACTGACCCTCAAAAATGATTGTTCCATCCAACATACATTGAATTATCATCAAAACTGTAATTATGACTAAGAATAGCCATCCGTGAGATTGGCCAATTCCTAATAACAAGTATAACAGTATTTATGCTAAAAGTTTGACACTGCACACCATATGAGCCTATAGCATCTTGACAGTTTATGGTTTTCCTGTATTACATCACTCCCACCTGTCTAAACACGGGGATATTACAGTGTCTTGCAGGATTCGGTCCTTATTACCTGCTTCATACTTGTGTTTTTGCAATCAACTTGTATTGCACCAACTTAGAAACGCCTATCCATTAAAAACCCAAGCGCATAGGCACACATAGAGACATAACAAGAATTTTAAGTCTATTTATTATTAGGTTATAGCTAGTTTTGTGAAAAGGAGGGTACATAGCGCACTGCTCTTTGTAGGTTTGCTCAAATATGCTGTGGTGACCTGAAATGTCCCCAATCTATAGGTAAAACAAACTCCTTTCGTACGCAGTAGTAGTAGTAGTAGTAGTAGTAGCAGTAGTAGTAGATTAGGAGTAGCAGCAGAACATCTTAATAAGTAGGCTAAATCTTATAGTAGCAGCAATAGTAGGCTACTCCTGAAGTCAACAGTAAACAGTTTAGTGTGCCATACGCTGCGCCCATATGTCCACCGGTGCCTCGCCTGCGTAAAACGGAGATTTACGCAGACAAGCGCACGAAAATACGAAATAATACGCAGCTATGACAAGGATTTGCTTAAAGTTTTACGATAAATCACAGAATTTTCCTCTAGCTCGGGCTGACTCCACATTTCCAACCCCACATTGCCGAGCTACAAACCCACATCGGCTGCGCTACGCCGAAACACATTTACGAATGAAAACCCAGCGAGTCCGAAAGCGTTTGCGTCGGTTGTGAAGTCTGCGAAGGAAAACGCGAGAGAGGCATGCGGGTTTGAACGTACCGAAAACACGTCTACGTCCGTGGCAGCCATGGTGCGGTGTGCGGCGGTCGGTGTGGGACTGGGGCGAAAGGGGAGCAGCCCTCGTCTCTCTCTGCGCGGGCCTAAACTACAGCAGCCGCCCGAGCAGAGCCGTGGAGGTGTGGAGAGGAGGAAGAGACGGAGAGAGGCGCGGAGCAGAGAGGGGGGACGGGCCCAGATGGTGCAGTGCGCCGGCGCTGGTGTTTCGTTTAGGCACGCCTCTTCCGGAAGAGAATGGAGCAGGTCGATTTTAATAGAGCCATCGTGGACTTTAGAGGATTTTTAATGAACTATGACAATGTGTGCATTGTCTTTTTTGCACTTTTTCCCTTGCAGATAAACAAGCCAGCGCCCAAAGTAATTCTGGGCCACGCACGGCAGCATCATGGCATGGGAAGTGTTTACAGCAGTGTTTCCCAAACGGTTTTTTTTTTTTTTTTTGGGACCCATATTTTAAAAGTCTCAAACCTTCACGACCCAAGTCAACAGACATTAAATCACAAAATAAATTTGGATTTGACCATTATTGAACATCAGTGAGGATATTTTATTGTTGACTGACTGAACAATTTGTATTACTCAAGTTTTAAACAATGAAAAACAGTCATTGAAGCAGCAATACAAGGATCCATAAGTCGCCTATTTGGACATTAAATGTAGCCCATTTCTTTTTCTTTTCAACATTCAATTGAACCAGTAATAGTGGAACAAAATAGTCACTCGCTCTCTCATGTGTCAGAACTGTATACTGCAGGCCTACATGCAGATCGTGTCAAGGCGACCCAAAAAAAATCTGTTCTGACCCACCTGAAGCTTGCAACCGAGTCTTTGGGAAACAGTGGTTTAGAGCACACGTTATCCACTAGCCACTAACCTGTTCAATTGGGTCAGCTCTAATCCCTACTTTTGCCTACTGTTGTTGTGCTCATAGGCATGATACTTGACACTCCTTGGTATGAATGTGGTGTAAAAGTGATTGGTGTTCTTTGGGGGCAATAGCATTTTTATTTTTAGTTTTTTATAGCAGTTAGTTTCTACCCACAGCTGTGACTGCAGTAGTACCATTCCACCCACCACCAGTATGGAATTAATAATGCACTGAATAATTAAAAGACAATATAAACCCAGGACTTATTCTCAATTAGCATTTTAATTCACTAAACATACCAGTCTAAAATGCAAACTTTTTACATAGAACTACCACCTTCAAACACAGGATGACACTAGGTGGACACTGGGGGAAAGTGTCTTGCCCAAGGACACAATGTAATTAATCCTCTGAGGACCACTCAACTAAACAACATTTATGCAGGGAGCGGGATTTGAACCACCAGTCTCTGAATCAGAGGACTCTACCAACATAGCTACTTTTGTCTTTAAGCCTATTTATTGCTAGCCAGGCTGGTTCCACCTGGTGCCTCCTCTCATTTTTCTCCAGCGACTAGGTCAGGAATTGGTTTACACTAGACTGTTTGCTAAAACCCCTGAAGTGCAAATTCTGGCACCAGCCAATCAGTGAAGAGTCATACGTGCTGTGTTGGCAGCGATTCCCCAGGTTGAGGATTTAAAGCCGGAGCAAAGAGAATGTTTGGTGAATTTTATCAAGGGGGAAAGACGTTATTGCCCTTCTTCCTACAGGATTTGGGGAAAGCTTAATATACCAGTTAATAGCGCATTACATACGTCACAACCAAATGGCAGCGATTGGTTAAATAAAAAAAGTACTCGTCTACTGCTGAGCGAATAAATTCTAACGCTGCGAGGTCAGACCGTTTCTACGAACTGTCTTGTCTTGTCTTGTCTATGTCTTCTCCCTGCCCAGTGCTGCTACATCATTTAAATGCATGCAACATGAAGGTCATTTCTGCAAATATTTGCTGTCATAAAATTTTGTGGTTCAAAATTCATATAATCCCTTGCTCTTAAATACATTTTGATTGAGAAAACGGTACATTATTTTATTAGTTATTTCATGTTTTGGGTAGATTCACAACCTAGACCTCTATTCCATGGACATAAACTCTGTTATTCTCTACTGTACTTAACTATCTTGCCTCAGCATTCACTCTTTGTTGAGCACCAATACGTTTCAATATGGCCACATCAGAGGAACTCCCTTTGAGCTCAGGAATGCCGCTGCTCACGTTACAAGCCAGGACAGGAGCGACGACACGGACCAGGCGAGAGAAAACTGTGTCACCAACATCCCTGTGTGCATACTGCATACTATTACTTTACTGTGCATTCATTTTTCATTATGACGACGAGGGCAGAGTCAGTGTCACAATGGAAATCAGAGCACCAATCAGACACAGAGCAGCTGCATTATTCAGTAGTTACGGGACTGTGAAAACTGAAGAGGTCCATTCAGAAAAAAAACACATGTGAGCAAAATTAGATCAGTTAATATCAATATTATAAGGCAGCTCAAGTTAAAGTCAAGTCTACCTGTAGGCATAAGATTTCATGAAAAAGTTTGAACCAAAATGTGCTTTTTAACATAGTCCTAATGTAGGCATTTGTTATAAAGTGTATCTCTGGGCATTGTAGGGCTCCTGGGCCACATACAGCCCTTTGGTTGACTCTGACTGGCCCGTTTAAGTTAATTTGGAATTACAAAATAAACATATTTTATAATTTTATTTTGAAGAAATTTTTTTATGAGATTTTTGTAAGGCAACCTCACTTTTTCATTGCTTAGTCATAACATAAACTCTTGCCAGTCTTACCAGCTCATCAAAACAATGATATTTACTGTTTTTTATAAAGAAATACAGTTAATATTATCCAGAACTGAGTTAAGCATTTTGGCTTGGCCCTCCACAATATTTTCTGTTTCTCATGCGGTCCCATGGAAGAAATAATTGCTCACCCCTGCTTTAGTTGGCTTACAAAAGTGCATATCTTCTAACATTTTAAACCAGGAAAATCCCATTAAAGATGCACTGCGCAACTTTTCTATTGTTGGGTCCGCTACTTACTTGTCCCCATGGACATGTTATTGGGGAATAAAATAATGGCCTCATCAGCTTGGCAAAGCCTGATCCTGTCAGATCTCAGAAGCTAAGCAGGGCTGGGCCTGGTTAGTACTTGGATGAGAGACCACTGGGAAAATCAGGTGCCACAGGGGGGCGCCAGGCATAAAAATTGTTGTTGTGTCCTTAGGCAAGACACTTCACCCACATTGCCTAGTATGAAAGTGGTGTGTGAGTGATGATGGTGGTCGAAGGGACTGATGGTACTGATTGGCATGGCAGCCGCGCTTCCCTTAGTCTGTCCCAGGGCAGCTGTGGCTACAATAGTAGCTTACCATCACCGAGTATGGAGTGAATGAATAATGCTGAATAATGCTCTGTAAAGTGTCTTTGTGACAAATGTCTATGAAAAGTGCTATATAAATAAAGACTTAATTTTCCTGGAATGTTCCATGGTATGACATTAAACATACCCATCTAGCATTTATTCATTACGGGTGTTTCTACTGCTCAAAAATACAACAACTTCTTTTGTAAATAGGAGCAACTCTCCACAGATCTGACTTGTAATTTCGCATAGTGCTGTAACCTGCTAGTGATAGGTTTAATCTATACTGTGGAACATTCTAGTTAAAGCAATAACATTTCCATAGAGACAAGCAGATGACAGACCCTCCACTAGAAATGTTACGCAGTGTGCCTTTAAGAACCGTGTTTTAATTAGGCTACTGTATGGCATTGTATTCATATAACTACTGCATTAAAGCAAATACTTGGGCTATTATGTTGAATATTAAGGAGTAATACAGATTTATTGGTCCACTGGTGCTGGTTACATTAAAAATACATATACATGTCAGAGGCCCCTGCATTATTAAAGGGGTGAGTGATGGGCTATTGATATAGAATGTGTCAACAACCGCACCAACAGGATGTCAATGCGATTATTATTACGTAATCCACAATGAACATGCCACTGTCCTATATAAATAATGAGGCGTGCCTGGTCTGCTGCTTTGTTCAATAGAGAATACAAAATTTGCATGTCACCTCTCACCTGCCAACACAAATGAAATGCTGCATGCGTTGAAGAATAAATAAGAAAAAAATAGACTGACAATATGAATGATCGCCCTGTTTGGTCACAAATTCTTATTTATATTTCCAACATATGTCTGTGTATAATTTTAAATGGACAAGAATAGAAGGGCCTATGTTTGGTATTGATTGTTGGTCAACTGGACAAAAGTCTGAAGTGAATAGGTTGCGTCAGCTGACAGCAGTGGTAAAAGTATAGATACCAAAGCACAAAAAGATACTCAAGTAAAAGTATCACATGAAAAAAATCTACTACTACAGAAAAGAAATGCATGTGAGTAAAATTAGATCTGTCAATATCAATATTATAAGGCTGCTCGAATCAAATCTACCTGTAGGCATAAGACTTCATGAAACGTTTGAACCAAAATGTGCTTTTTAACATAGGCTTAATTGAATAATAAACATTTGTAATAAAGTGCATCTCTAGTTGGACTACAGAAGTGCATATTTTAACATTTCAAACCAGAAAAATCACATTAAAGGTCCACTGTGTAACTTTTCTGGTGTCTCCATGGAGATATTTTTGTTTTGTCTTGATTATTCTACAATATGGAATTAAACTTTTGGTAGATCTATGGAAAAGCAAGCCTGCACATGGTAAGAATTTATGTTTTTAATGTATTTTTGAGCTACAAAACACCTGTAATTAAACAAATATAAGGGAGATATGTTTAATGCCTTAATGTGGAACATTCCAGTGGAAGATCTAACATCTCCATAGAGACAAGCATGTAGCAGACCGTCCACCTTAGAAGTTACATAGTTCACCTATAAATAAAAGTAGTAAAGTACATGTTTAAAATTGTAAAAAGAGTAAAAAATGCAAGTATTTTGAGCATATTTTGAGATCTACTGGTAATGAAGCTGTAAATGTAATGATTTTAATAAAGGTTTGTGTTGAATTTTGTTCAACTGAAGCAAATGAAGTCATATTTTTTTCTAGCTGGTTTTATGTGTGTGTTTTGTTTAAAATAAACCCTTCACCTTTTCAGCAATTCTCAAACATTACTGCAAATGTAGTAAAGAAAGTAAAGTACAGATACCTAAAATTTTAACTTAAGTATGGTATTGTATTACATTTACTTTGTTACATTCCGCCACTGGTTGACAGAATAGAATTTTCTTTTGCTCTGAATCCTACCTAGACAACTGAGGGATTATACAGAAATGATGAGTAATGACATACAGCCTACACACACGTTTGTTTTCTCTGGTTTCCCACAACTGTTCCCACACTATAGGCCGATTTGTTAAAGGGCCTATTTACTGTTATAATGTTATGTGGTCTTGTGATGTCATGTGGTAATACAAGAAGTGCTCCACTGTGTTTTTAAACTCCATACACCTTCACTAGAATCATCTAGATAAATTTCAGCCCTGGAATTGCCAATGTCTACTGAACTAAAGGTAAAAGGTTGCTGTTGACTTGAAAACAACCACTACATGACATCACAAGGTGGACCAGAGCATTTTGAGCTTTAGAGATGTAGATAGACTAATCATAAACGGTTACTCTCATGCATAAATGAAACAAAACACAAATCCAGACATGTTTTTGATGAGGTAACAGCATTGTAACACATCTTAAAGCTCACAAGAGTCAACTTTTTTAAACTTTTTTGTCAACTTTTTGGGCCTTTAAATTAGATTTTAATACAGGCACTCGTTACAATTAAATAGGTTTAGTGTTAATTTACATCTAGTCTACAAGCTTGAGTTATGGCCATGTAGACTATACAGGCTCAGTGCAATGAGAATATGTCTCTTAATTTGTGCCCAACAGAAATATAGGAAAAGGGTAAATCTACTAAACAAATGATTGAACTATTTATTCTGTGTTGACTTGGGACATAAGCAAATGAGGGTCCGTTGTCGTTGTTATAGTTTGCATATATTATTCAAATACTATGTTAATGTCCTATCCACGTGTGCATTTCCCCAGGTAGTGCCTCCCTCAGGTGGAGAAGAGGAGGAGAGAGGCTGACTGGCCACAGGTGAGCGCCGCTACCGTCCCCAGACAGTAACGCACCGGACGGGGATAAAGAACTCCAACACCCGGGGGAATACGCGCCGCTGCTCGGATTAAAATTACGCATTTCACCGCTGGCGCTTGCTGGAGACTTCTGCCATGGCTCTAACACAGCAATCCGTGCTGTCTTTCCTGATCGAAGAGGGGGGCAAGGTGAAGAAAACCGAGCTGGTGCAAAGGTTCAAAGGTTTCTTAGACTGCGACGATCCCGAGGAGAGGGAGCGTAACCGGGAGTTGTTTAAAAATTTTGTCAACAACGTCGCCGTGGTTAAAGAAATAGACGGTGCGCGTTTCGTGGTGGTCAGGAAGAAATACGAGCCGTTAGTGGAGAGTTACCAAAAGCAGGAGAGAGCTGGGTTCGCGGGAGAAGACGTGGATGCCGTGCGTAAAGGTGAGCTGCAGCGCCCACCTGTGCAAAGCGAGGAAGAGAGCAATGGCGATGGATTAGGCCCAGAAGAACATACTAATAATCATAATGAAAGTTGTGAAAATGACTCTGAAACCTTTAACCCAATTCAGATGGCTTTACAGAGGTGCAAATATGACTTAAAACCGAAAAGGAGTATGAATTTTGACATCCAAAACGCAGAGACAAATCAGTCTAGTAGTGCGCAAAGCAAGCCTTACGCATTACCTTTGAGGATGCCACCCACCAAAATAGAAATACACAAGCTAAAATCAGCTTATGAGTCTAATAGTCTGAAAATTGAGCCATCCAGGGACCAGAAGTTAACCAGGCCCGCTCCAATGGGTTCACCAAATTTGAAAAGGTACGCAAAAAACACCAAAATATCTACTGAGATGAAAGAAACCCGTGTTCCGTCTATGGTGCCACTGGATCAAATCGAACACGAGTGGCTGGTGAAATGCGCATCCGGGCACTGGAGTCAAGTCTACGGGCTGCTGCTGAGTGACAGCCAGCTTGCAGAGAAGAAAGACTTTATTTCTGGGTTCACCGCTTTGCACTGGGCCGCTAAGTTTGGGAAGAGCGATATACTGGAGAAGATTTTCGAAGTCTCTAAGCAGGGAGGGGTGGACGTGGATGTGAACGCGAAGACGCACGGGGGATACACGCCGTTGCACATCGCAGCCCTGCACGATCAAGAGTACATTCTGGGGATGTTGGTAGGCGAGTACGGAGCCGATCCCAAAATACGGGATAACTGTGGGAAGAGAGCGTACCACTATTTGCATAAAGGCGTGTCTCAGACTATCAGGGAGATGCTCGGACAGCCCAAATTCACCAGTAAGGAGGTGTATAAAGTGAACCACCAGAAAGAAGAGCCAGAAGTTTTTCCGGATCTACCCAAAGGTCTACACTCGATAAGTAAACTGTTTCAGCCGAATTTGAGTGGACACAGGAAGAAGTCAAAGCAAAGGCCCACTCTGTACTCTCTCCACGATGAACCGGAGTTGGAGGAGCGTGAGGAGGGCAGTGCAGGGGGCAAACATAGACTACTGTCAGATGTCTTTATGTGAAAATGTAAAAATAAGAAGATGTAAGCTGTAAATCATTATCTGTCTGGACACTGACTGACTTGTAGGTGTTGCAATTCCTGGACTCTGTTTGGTACGTTCAAAAGACAATAACAGACTTGCATGAAGAATTACAACTAACAGACGCGGCGCTACCATTAGGCAAAATTAGGTGGCCGCTTAGGGTCCCCGCACCTGGAGGGCCCCCCTAACAGTTGCATTTGTTGTTACCATTAATGGCTGAGGCCTCAGAGCAGTTTGTTTTTTTCCTCAATATGACATTAAATGAGAGTAGTCTATTTTATTTTTGACATCCAAAACGCAGAGATAAAAACAGGCTTGTAGTGTGCAAAGCAAGCCTTACACATTGCTTTTAAGGATATCACCCACCAAATTAGAAATAAACAAGCTAAAATCAGATTATGAGTCTAACAGTTCGAAACTTGAACCATCCAGGGACTAGAAGTTAACCAGGCCAGCTCCAATGGGTTCACCAATTTTGAAAAGATATGCAAAAAATATCTACCGAGATGAAAGAAAACCGTGTTCCATCATAATAGTATCTGATTGTCAAATCTGTTTTAACTGTCAAAGCGACCCTGATTTGAACATAATCATAGCATAATCATAATCATAATAAAATATAATTGTACTAGCAAAAAAATAAAACTACTTTCAGCTCTGGTTTTCTATTAGACTATCGAACTAATAAGACAAGTTTCCAATCCACCATAATTCAAATAGAGATATGCATGTCTCAAGAACAATGGGAAAAAACAGACAATAAATATTAAAAAAAATATACAAAACAAAACCAAACAATAAAACAGTGCATTACAATGAGGGCCCCAAACTCAAGTTCGCCTAGGACCTCCAAATTGTTAACTCCGCCACTGACAACAAAACATAAAATAATACGAAGAAAGTTATAGGTATCTTTAGTGTAATATGGGACATTTAAATCCAGATGACCTTCAATTCAAGTTGTACGCCTTGAGAACCTCTGTTTATAGGTACATTTACAAAAAAATAAGAGTAAAAATAGTTAAATTACAGGCCGATTTGTTTAAGTTTCACACAAGAAAATTCACAGACCTCACGGGGTCATGTAAAGGTCAACCAAGTCCTAAAGCCCGAATACTGTAGGTGTGGCTGATTGCTTGTCTGTGTACGTTTCAAAGTGTGGAGCTTGTGATTTGCTGTATTTGTCAATATGTCAACACAGGCTGAGATTACTGTCAGCATAAGATTTAGCTTCCATCAAACACTCTCAACTCAGCTGTGTGTTATTACTGGTATCGTAAACCTCAAATACACTGTTAAGTGAAATATCTTTTGTAAATCTGTAGCTTTATTCGTCAAGAAATAGTCAGTTTTAAAGGTGCATTGTGTAACGTTTCTGGTGCAGGGTCTGTTGGACATGTTATTGCTTTGTCTGGAATGTTTCACAGTATGGCATTAAACATTTCTATCTTCATGGAGATCAAACCAAGCCAAGGTCAAGGTTACAGGTCAGATCTGTGCAAAGGCGAACCCGCTCGCAGTCAGAATGTTTGTTTCTCTGGGTATTTTTGATCGATAAAACCACCTGTATTTAAACGTAAAGCAGAGCTGTTTAATGTCATACTGTGGAACATTCCAGGCAGAGCAATGACATATCCATAGCAACAAACAAGTGACGGACCCCAAGCCAAGAAAGTTACACAATGAATCTTTAAAGTAATACTTGTCTGCAGAAATGAAAATGTGTTTGAAATGAAAGACTTGACTGTGGTTGTACGTGATGATTTTGAGCTCTGTAATTATTTAAGCGTTTGTTATTATATCGCTGTGAAGTTGAATGATTCATTGTTGTAGCCTGCAGCACTTCGAGCAGTATGCAGGAGGCTCCTGTGTGTGCATTGTACATTGTGAACTGGTCTTGTTTTTAGACTTAACTGCTTGTACATTTGAATAACAATACCCCAGCTTTGTTACTCTACTGTAATGTTAGACCAGTGATTAAATTATAGGACTGAAAATAAAAATAATGACCACATCTTAACGCATAAAAGACTTGTTAGTTGCATTGTGTAACACTTTTGGCGGGGTTCTTGTCTCCATGGAAATGTTATTGCCTTTCCTAGAATGTTCCACGGTATCGTTAAATATTTACTGCATTTATTCAGTAACAGGTTACCCAAAAAATTAAATAAACATGCATACTTCCTTCTTCCTTCTTCCTTTACTAGCCAGGCTGGAGCCACCTAGTGCCTTCGCTCAATTTCATTTCTCTCCAGCAACTAGGTCAGGAATCAGAATATACCAGACCAGACATGTCAAACTTTGGCTCAGGGGCTAAATTTGGCCCGCAATATAATTATATTTGGCCCACGAGATCATACCAAATATGTATTAGAGATGGCCTGCCTGCTACAGATAGACTATAGAGACATTATTTATTTACAATTTTGGTATTACTATTATTAAAACTATTATTAAACATTTCTTTTAATGAGAAAAGGTTTAACATTACATATCTCCGAAGAAGAGAAAATATGCAGATGCTGAAATTTTTCAATAAATATTTAGTTTGGCCAGTGACTTAGTCCCGGTTTTTAGTTTTGGCCTTTGTGAATTTGAGTTTGACACCCCTGTACTAGACGGTTTGCAAGAACCCCCGGAAGTTGTAGACTAGACCGGCCAATCAGTGAAGAGCTGTGAAGCCATGACGTCAAACTCAAGCATCTGTCTGGGTCCCTTTTGTGGTACAGCTCAACAGTAAACAAAGCTGTCGAGATGGATGTAGATGAAGACAGACATTCTGTGTTGGAAATAACTCCCAAAATTGAGAATTTAAAGCCGGAACAAAGAGAATGTTTGGTGAATTTTATCAAGGGGAAAGATTTTATTGCCCTTCTTCCTATGGGATTTGGCACATCACATGCATCACGACCAAATAGCAGCGATTGGTTAAATAAAAAAGTACCCGCCTATCGTCAAGCGAACGAATCCTAATGCTGCGAGGTCAGTGAAACCGGCTGATGAATCAGGCTAGATTTTTACTGTCTTAAAACATGACAAACAGCTAATTTTAAACAGTTTGCAGTGGTCCAAAGTTATCCCTCAGTTGCCTTATGCATTCCGAACATCATTATTCACAGCAATGAGTTTATGAGTGCTTTTTCACCACTTTTTTGCCATGACAGTAAATCAACAAGAACAACAAGCATGCAGATGCCAGATTGTCACACAATAAAGTGCGCTGCGGGATCACTTCTGCACAATTCTGACCTGTAACTTATGAAATATATATAAGTTTAATAAGCCATCAAACTCCAGTCACAGGTAGCAGACGGGCCCTCCTCCAAGAAAGTCTCACAGTGCGTCTTCGGTGATCCATTTCAAACCCAGACTAAACCAGAAGAAAATTATTTGTCATTGAACAGCTCATATACCACTAAAGTGTGTAATTTAGTCTGGGCTTGCGTCGTCATGTGAGGATCTGTGATTCTAATTTCTGCACTAATCAGGACTGGACTTGTTTATCTCATCTTAAGACTCTCAAGCAGCTATTGTCTCCACTAAAGGATGTGAAATATGAGGAAGACATGTATTTGTGACGACTGCAACTCACGTTACTGATGTACAAGATAGACGTGAAAGAAGTACTCAGAAGAATACACAAGTAGAGTACAGCCCGTTTTAGTAACACACATAAAGAGGGTCTGTATTACGCTCTTTTCTGATTTGTTGTAATGGTGTTTCTTCATCACAAACAGACCTGGAGTTGTGTTTTTTGGTTTCATTCACACGTTTAACACACAGACCATGCATATTTAGGTTCTGCGTTCTTCTCTCAAACAGAAAACAGTCTGTTCCACCCTGTTCCACCTCATATCAGACCTGGAATTTGCAATGTCTACTGAACAAAAGGCAAAATGTCGCTGTTATCTTCTAAACATTACATACATTACATCATAAGGTGGAACGAGGATTTTGAGCTGTGGAAATGTTGACAGACTAACAATAAGGGATTACTCAAACATGTGTGAATGAGACAAAACACAACTGCAGCTATGTTCTCGATGATGTAACAAAAACAACATGACTTAAAGCTCACAAGAGTCCATTTTGTGTATATAAGATTTAATTAGTCTTAATAACACACAGACAGACCGTATGAGGAAAAAAGAATAAAAGAATGATTCAGGTTCAGTACTACCTTACCCCAACCCTTTAATTAAGTAGTTACTAAGTCTGAATCATTCTTAAAGGAGCTGTACCTGATTTAAAAATATGAAAAACACAACTAGTCCATTTTAAACAGTCTGCTAAAATGTCCCAATACAATAAAACACTCACTGTTGGGCAAGTTACTTTAAAACTGTAATGTATTATTTATGACTTATTACTGTCATTTTAAAGTAATTTGTTACATTACAATATTACTGTATTTAAAATATAAGGCATTGCACGACTATTGCAGCACTTTAAGTTACTCTCACCAAAATAACTGCGAAGATACTGAACTTTTGTGCCTTATATGGACAGAACCAGGACTAAACCAAAACTGAACCAGAGCTGAACCCGGACTGAACCAGGACTAAACCAGAACTGAACCGAGGACTAAACCAGGACTAAACTAGGTCTAACCCAGGTCTAAAGCAGGTCTAAACAAGGATTAAACTAGGACCAAACCAGGACTACTCTTGGACTAGAACTTGGAATCTAGGACCGCCCTTGAGAGAACCCCGAGTCCGTGGAACAGGGTGTCTGCAAGGCGTGATCGCCCGCGGTTACCTGGCGGTCTACGTGGGCTCGTCTTCAGCGTTTCACCACTGCTAATATTGTGGTGATTTTAGCGACTATGTATGAAGAAAAACCCACCACTTCAATCCAGGTTAAAAAAAGCATTGTAATACGCGTTACTGACATTTGTACCGAGTAAAATATGACTATTTTTTTTCCCTGTAATGCCTTACATTATTGCGTTACAGCAAAAAGCAATGCATTACAGTAATTCGTTACTTTTATAACGTGTTACTCCCAACACTGAAAACACTTTGTATTTCAAAGCAGACAGTTGACAGTGGTCTTATTTTGACCTCAAGAGCTGCTAGTACAATATATCTGTACTAGGGCAGATATATTTTGTACAAATAATCTACATGGGAAAAGAATGCTACCCTACAAACACAAAAGAGCTTAACTTGTCAGATTGTGAAACTGAGAAAAATCACTTCAAAGTTTCTGTTTTGTCCAGACAAAAGTATAACAGGTAGGGCTCCCAAAATTTGACAACTAGTTGCTATAATGAAGAAATATTTGTATGTGAAAAATATTGAGCTCAAAATTGACTTTTGGCCTTTCCTCTACTCTGCCTTTGTGTCATGAGCCAAAAATAAGTTTTCGTGCAAAGGCAAAAGGCAGAAACTGACATGATCATTATTTGTTTAATTTTCCCCAGACTTCCATTCATTATAAGAAAAACACCTCACCAAGTTCGAGTCATCATGGAGTTTGTTTGAAATGATGTAGAAGAGTTTGGCGACATTTACACAGTGAAACAGCTTGACACAAGTGACTTTGCAGTATAATGTGTACAGTATGAATAAATACACAAAATACTGCCACTTTAAAGATAATTGAATATAATTGAATACAAAGGTTTATTTACTTGAATGTGTTACGACCCTGTTCCAAGGCCACAACAAAAAGAAGAAGGCGAGAGGTTGGATTTGAAAATATATTTATGAACTAAATCACAAACAAAACATACACTGTTTCTGCCTTTTGCCTTTGCACCACTCCTTATTTTTGTCTCATGATACAAAGGCAGAGAACAGGAACAGACAAATAAGGGTCAAAGGTAAATTTTGAGCTCAATATATTTCACGATATATATTGACATGATAAAGGAGGTTTCAAATACAAACAAAATGACATGAACTCATTTTTGACCAAACATGATGTTACGGCGTTCTGCCTTCGTAGGCCAGTACACACTATTTGGTCATTATGAATTATATAAATTACTCTTTTTTCATGCTATATTAAGGCTGCAAATATATACTGTAGTTATTTTGCTACTCCTATAGGTTCTATATTGCACAAAGTTGGCTCTTACCATGTTACAATGCTGTTACCTCATCAAAACATGCCTGGAGTTGTGTTTTGTTTTGTTCACACCTGTTTGAGTAACTTTTTATTGTCAGTCTGTCTATCTTCAAAGCTCAAAATGTTCCGTTGTGATGTCTATTGTGATGTAGTTTTCAAGTTAACAGCTACCTTTTTATGTTTAGTTCAGTGGAGACTTGGAATTTCTAGAGCTAAAATGATCCAAATGATTCTAGTGAAAGTGTGTGGGGTTTAAGAACACAGTGGAGCACTTCCTGTATTACAGTTTTCAGTCTAAGGCTACGTTTATATGATAACGGTCTGAACAGAAGACACAAAAGCGGTGTTGCGTCTTCACTTTTTATTCCGCGTTTAGACAAACATTTTCGGGAGGAAATCTGCGTGCATACGGTGACGCAAAAGTGTGTGGAATTGGATTGGGTGCATGTCAGGCGGCTAGGTGGTGACGCTAGGTGGTGATGTAGTGATGTAAACGCGTACGCGACGTGAGCAGATCTGACTAGAGTTTTGCGTCTTGGGCAGTGTAGACGGAAACACTACAGCGCAGCATATTCAACTTTTCCATTCTGGAGGGTGGTTTCAGATTTTTGCGTTTTTAAGCCTCAAAACATCATCACTGTCTAAACAAAAAGTACATCCAATAAAATATTTTGTCGTTTTTACCTGCAAATGTTCTCATGTAAACAGGGCCTAAGAGGAAAACTCAGCCTAAAAAAGCAGGGTTTGTGCGTTAAATGTGTGTGAATGAAACAAAACACAACTCCAGGTATGTTTTTGATGAGGAAACAACACTAGAACTTTGCTCAGAAAGCAGCGTAATATGGACCCTTTAGTGTATTTATTGTCATCTTTTTTCAAGATGTGTGCACAATCCGTCAGTCGTTCAGGTAGAACCCATGGCAAAAGATGAAATTAAATTTGTGAACTGCACAAAAGTTTATTTGGTCGAATATTCATTTCTTCTTTCTTCTGGTTCTAGTTCAGTTCTGGTCAGACGCTGGACACTTCCTTATATCTGCCTGAAGGGAGGAGCTAACTACACTGAAACTACTCTGAAACTAACACCCTTGTTTACTGTTTCTTCATCTTTTTGTCACATCATTTCTTCATCCTTTTGTCACAACATAAGGTCAAACAATATATAGGGACAATATATTATTACGTTAGGTTATCAAAGTGTTTTTATTTGTTAAATTTCTTCCAAAAATATGTTGAACTGACTGAGTTAACATTCCTTCTATTAGTAGTCCATGCATAAATCTGGCCTATAGTGAACGCCTTCTTGCAACACACCATTTCATCAATTATTAACTTAGACACACCTCATTCAACTGTGTGAATCTGGCACTTCTCAGAACATTGAGGATTCTCTTTGTTTTGTAAATAAAGTTTTAATTAAAGACAGAGTGTAGAAAGCTGATGTCACTGGTGAAGACATATCCAGGTGTCCCATAAATCGTGAGCTCCCCTTGAAACGTGGCTGTGTCGGTCTGGTCCTGGCGTGTTGAGACAGCTGTGATTCAGCAAAATAAGCAGCTGACTGTCTGCAGAGTGTCCGGGCGGGTATGCAGCACATTGTTTGGACTTAAATCTCGGTCCATGAAGTAAAAATCTGGTCCTCATGATGTAATTATTAGATCATCATGGCTTAAAGGTGTATTGTGTAACTTTTCCGGTGAAGGATCTGTCAAATGCTTTTCTTCATGGAGAGGTTATGAGGTTATTTGTCTGGAATGTTTCACAGTATGGTATTGTTATATCTTTCTGTCTTCATGGAGACCAAACCAGACCAAGTTACAGGTCAGATCTGTGGAGAGGTGACCCCACTCGCAGTCAGTGTCTGTTTTTCTAGGTATTTTGAGCTATGAAACCAATTGTAATTGAATAAATATAAGGTAGAGCTGTTTAATGTCATACTGTGGAACATTCCAGGCAGAGCAAAGACATCTTCATAGAAACAACCATTTGACAGACCCTCCACCAGAAAAGTTACACTATTCACCTTTAAAGTTAAAGAGCCTGTGACAGGTTGACTACTCATTTTACTCAACACAATTAAGATCATTATAAGAAAAACATTCATACCTGTTTTCCAATTTGAATATTTTTTAGTAGTACTCAAAACTGGTCTTGGTCTCGTCTCGGAATCGAACGCCGTTGGACTCGGTCTCATCTCGGTCTTGATGGTGCTTGGTCTCGGTCTTGTCTCGGACTCAAGGTCTAACACTTGACGAGTGCAATCATATTTCATTACAGCTGATATATGCGCAGAGGCTGCTAAATATCACTGCAAAACGCTGGTTTTACCCATAATAATGTGACTCTAAATGTTATGAACTTGAAAAAACTTTATTAACTTTGAAACTGTTTTCAGTAAAGTGCCAGTGGAAGTGGGATTAAAGAAGGGGTTCTCAAACTGGGTGTGCAGGTCCAAAAAAGAGGTACCGAGTACTTAAGTGCAGTATAGTATGTATGGGCCATGTTCTCGGTCTTGTTTCGGTCTGGACCTTTAAAAGTCTTGGTCATGTCTCAGTCTCAACTCTCAGAAGTCTTGGTCTTGTTCTGGTCTCAGACTCTTGACTACAACACAAATTTTTTGGTTTAAAATCTTACTTCCTCAATGGAAAGTGTGACTTCACCTAGTGTTACCTAGCAAAACTCCTCTAATGTACACAGGAATTATAATCTGACAAACAGAAATATAAGAAAACAGTTCTTGTAGTTCTTGTCTGTACATTTTTCCAAACTTTTAGATATAATTCTCCCTAGTGTGATGTAATTTTCAACATATCTTGTCTGTGTAAAACTATAATTTAGTATTATCCCACCAACTTAAGTTAAAATAAGAGAATCATAAAAATCTGTCATAAGTGCTTTAAGATATGCGTTTTGGGTTTTGGTTAAGGTTAAGTGTAACTATTGTTTGGATCCGTCTCCAGGAAATGAATATAAATCAATAAAATGTGATGTCTCCAAGAAGAATAGAAACCCAACGTGTGTGAAAGAGAAAGAGAAAGATAGGGAAAAAGAAGGAGGAAAAAAGGGAGAGAGAGTGAGGCTGCACATTAGCTAAGTATATTCACTTTTGTATTCACAGCATATCGAAAACAGAGACTAAACCGTGATTCAATCCAGAATTTAAAGAGCCCATATTATGCTATTTTCTGATTTATGTCATAATTTTGTTTCCTCATCAAAAAACATACCTGGAGTTGTGTTTTGTTTGTTTTGTTTAACACACAAATCCTGCTTATTCTCTGGCGATGTCATGTGGTAAATTTTTAAACATCATACACTTTCACTGGAATTATTTGGATGATTTTGGCCCTGGAATCGACAATCTCTACTGAACTGAGGGTAAAAGGTTCAGTTCAAAAAGTTGTTAAAGGGATTTTGTAATACTTTGTAATGTTTGTTTACTATTGGGAAATTCGTCCTCTGCATTTGACCCATCCTTCAACAACCCATGAGTACCAAAACCAATACAGAACCCATTTCCATACAAGAAGAACAAAGAGGAATCCACTTTGCAAAACAAACCTCAAATATTTGACCCTCCTCCCCAGTGTGCAGTACACTCATCCATCTTTAGCTCTGTCCTTTGGGTGGTGCCTCCTCGTGTTAGCATCTCCCCTCTGCGATCCTAAATTATGTTTGATGTTTGGGCCCCCAGCCTTCATTACAGTCTCCTCCTCTGTCACCATGACGATTCTCTGAAGGGAATGGACTGGCAAAGGGTCAGCAAGTTCTAAAAAACATAACAAGGAAATACATACAGAAAAACATTGGTTGAAGGGCCCATATTATGCTATTTTTTGATGTATGTTATAATGTTGTGTCCTCATCAAAAAAAAAAAAGCTGGAGTTGTGTTTTGTTTCATTCACACATGTTTAACACACAAACTCAACCTTTTGTCCTCTTATATGAGCTCTTTAAATTATTGCACAAATCTAAAAGCCTTGGAAACTAAAGCACTATGGATAGATTATAATGATTCTTGTACAAATGATTAAAAGTTGTCATTGTTTAAATCATACACTGTTGTACACTGCCCATCTCTGGATTAATTACAAAAAAGCTTGTTTACAAAGACTGCAGGTGCCTACAGTGATGCTAAGATGTTTGTTACTGCATGAGTGAACACTCTGCCAGCTGCACTGAGAACTTTAATGTACTGTTTTGTTTGCAAACTGAACAAATCAGACAATCAAATAATAATGTTTGAGATTCAGTGCAATAAGATGTCAGTCCAATATGTGGAGACATTGGTGTGGCTGTCTTTTAAAAATGTAAATGTTTATTGTTTTGTAATGTCACTGTAATTCCAGGTATGTTTTCGATGAGGTAACGACATTCCAACACGACATAAAGCTCACAAGAGTCAATTTTTCATAATATAGGGCTGTTAAAGTCAAATGCGGGATTAAATGTTATATCCTCATAAAGTTCAAATGTAGCGTGGATGGACGGGGTGTTGTTCGTTTGAGAGCTTTTAAATGGCAGCTTCATCAGTGTTTTATATAGCAACATGCAAACAGAAGACTGTGGCTGGCTCAGGCTTTTTGTTTTCTCAAAATAGAAACAGCTCCTTGCCCGGTGTTTGCTTAGAGGGTGTTCACTATATTGTCTATAAATATAGTTTTGTAATACAGAGCAAGTAATGTTATCTTTAGTAAATGTATGCTGGCAGAGTGGTTAGCTTTTTACACAACAAGATTCTTAGGTTGGTTACATTTGGATAAGCCATACTCCTGCCCATGTTCCCTGATTAGTGCTTTTTTTTGGTCTTGATTTGTTAGTGACCTTGTAAAAATACATTCAATCTTACAAAAAAAAAGATTATTTGTACCAGATTTAAAGAGCTCATATTATGCTATTTTCTGATCTACAAACAAACCTGGAGTTGTATTTAGTTTCATTCACATATGTTTAAAACACAAACCCTTCATATTTAGGGTTCTTCTCTCAAACTGAAAACACTCCGTTCCACTTTGTGATGTCATATGTTAATACAGGAAGTGCGTCACTGTGTTTTCTCTCTAAACCTTCACTAGAATCATTTGGATAATTTCAGACCTGGAATTGCCAATCTCTACTGAATAAAAAGTAAAAAATAACTTGAAAACTACCACTTCATGACATCACAAAGTGGAACAGAGCATTTTGATCCTTGGAGATGTAAACAGACTAATAATAAAATGTTATTCAATCATGTCTGAATGTAACAAAACACAACTCCAGTATGTTTTTGATGAGGTAATAGCTTTATAACACGGCTTAAAGAACACAAGAGTCAGTTTTGCGTGATATAGAAGCTTTAACATACACCTTTCATTACAATTACATTACAAGACTGACTTTGTAACATTGCATTTTTCATTCACTCTTCACTCATGAAATTGTAGCCAGGAGTAGGAGTTTTAAAGAGGCAGTCCGGAATTTTGGACATAGGGCCTCATTTCCTAGTGAGCCAGAGTATTGGAGACATGTGGAGACACTTTTTTAAATATTCCATCCAGTCCTTGTATTTGCAGAGGTCGCTGGTGCTAGGCTAGTGCATGTCAATGGCCATAGTTAGCCTGCCACTAAAAACAGTCTTACCCACTCTGTCATGCCAGCTAGTGGGTGGGTGGGCTGTTTGAGTTCTGTCTTTCGCCACACTCGTCCAGCCAATGTAAGAGAATTTAAGTAATTTATCTTCAATGTACATCTCAGTTTAACATTGACACAAAAGCTATATTTACACCATGATCTTCCCTTGACATACCATTGGCATACCGCTATCTAAATTGTGACATATTGGTGTCTAACTGGTGTCTACTGGCCTTTATAGTCTCACAACATGTGCTTTATAAACCTCCTCCGGAAGCATAGTCAAAGGGGCTTGATCAGTCAAAGATCATACTATGTTCTCTTTTGAAATCATACTATGTTGACTTTTCAAGTCCCCCCGGGCCCGTATCATTGATGGTAAATAAACTTCTCCTGCGTAAGACGTCCAGTTGGTCTCCATCCTTTTACTTCCACCCTTTCTTGGACAAGCTGAAAACTTCGACAACAGCCACTAATACAGGTGTGTGTGTGTGTTGTAATATCAGACCTTCAAAACTATTGCTTAGTTTAGGGTGACCATATTTGCATTTATCAAAACCAGGGCACCATACGGGGGGTGGGAGGTTGGGTCTTGTCATCGACATTGACCTACTCTCACCTGGCAAGGCTTTTTAATGTTTGGTGGTGTCCTGGTGCTTTGAGGTCCCTGGCACCCCCACTGGATACTGAAACATACTGTATATGCTTGCATTGCACACTGTGACCATGGCCTCCCACTTGTCCCGACCGATGGAAAGCAGGGAATTTCTTGTGCAAGTTATCGTTAAATGCACATTTGCGCTTCAGCATGTTGCAGGCTGACCGACTGTGTCTGCTCGCTCCTTCTGATTCACTGAGAGCTACGAGAGCCGCTCAATTTAATGGCCCAATGAAAGATAATGAAAACCTGGATATTTGCATCACTTTATAAAAAAACAAAAACAAAAAATGGACGGCCAGGATAGGAGGTGAAAAGCGGACATGTCAGGGGAAAAAATGATGTTTGGTCACCCTAGCTTAGTTGTACAACTGGGGATAATGTCCATTTTACTTTGTAGATCTTGAGCCATGTAGTTGAGTGCACTGTCGTCGCTTTGTCTTTCTTTGTCTTTTCTGTGTATTGGTGTTTTCCTGAGATTTGAACTGGATTTACAAACAAACGTTGGAACTGAATTGTCCTAACACCTGTAAACATTACTGTCACAATGATTTATGGAAAATGTATAAATAAACTGTATACTTTTGAAATATGTGAATTATGCCTCTGTTCATCAACAATGAACCTATGTGCCTTTATATTAGCTGGTCCTGGGCCGACTCCCAGGTGGCATTGTTGGTTCTTGGTTCCTGTATTATACGTTATGTTAATGTAATTGTTAATTATTGGTTCAGCAAGTAGTTACCACAAGATATCAAGGTAGACCCACTCGCTCATGCCACATAAGGACTCGATGGAATCTTTTAAAAAAGTGTCTCCAAAATTCCGGACTATCCCTTTAACTAACTACTCAGAGAAGTATATAAAAAAAATTAAGAAAAATACTACCCCCTGCTAAACCACACATACACCATTACCAAATCCATAGCAGCATTTAGTAATCCAATACTTCTGTCTTGCTTGGTGATTGATTTTTCAGTAAAGAAGCATGTCATGTTAACAGATTAGCCCCTGCCCTTTCTAAACTCAGCTGGGAGCACAGCTATTGACTTAAAATAGAATCCGCACAGTATCTCTACCAAAATCATCTGGTTCTGATCAACTTATAAAAGCACTTTTCATTTGCACTTTTGGCTGCAGTTCAACGCAAACCCAGAGAAATGTGTTCGCGCACGTGTATGTGTGTGTGTATGCGTGTGTGTGTGTGTATGTGTGTAAAATAAAACCGCTCACCAATCATCGGAAAACAGGCAGATTTTGGCTCAAATCTGAGGGTTTCCAAATGCTCCCGGGTGAATGCAACCGCCACTCTTCATTATAGGCACTAATGGATCCATCACTCTGTTCTGGGCTCTGGTTTGGAGAGAGGAGATGTCTGGGTTAGAATAATACTATATCTGTCAAATAACACAGAACAGGTGTGGAACAATTTATAAAATACATTATAGTAGTGGAAAAATAATGCCTATGTGTTTTTCACCTAAGAATGTCTTTCCTAGTCTTCTCATCTAACCCAATTGGACTGAAAGAGGAAAAATGACCACACTTTTTATGGATTTGGAAAATATATGTGCCTATATTTTATTATTATAAATGTGAATGTTATTGAACTGCTATGATTTTTGTAAGTACGTGTGAGTAGAACCTTTATAGCAATGGCCTGAGTGGTTAGAGCAGGGGTCTGAGAGGACACAACACTAACAGGATGTCCTATGTACAGCTCTTTAAAAGCTCAAATGAAAAACTGGTTAAGGTCCAACCAAACATGTACTCGTGTACAGCTGCATTGTGATTTTTTAAGTGATCTTTTATGGACACATATCTGCATGTGGTGAACGTGTGGCCAAATTGACTGCAAAATAATGGGAATTTTGCAATTACTGGAATGTGCAATAATGGGAACTGTGCAGTGTGCAATATTTTATTGTTTGGCCCCCAGTGACCCCAGCCTTTTGGCCTTTGTTTCAATCAAATAAATAAGTAAATAAACTAAATAAAAATGCCAGGGAGCTACTCATTTTAGTGGGTTCAAGAAATTGAGACAATTATAAGAAAGAGAGCAAGCCTTCATGACAGTTAAGTGCAAAATATAAACCAACGTCTATTTATTAGTGTGCAAAGTTGGGCTTCAGAATGATACATTTACAACGGTAATAGGTGTGTAGTTTACCAATTTTTTATTATTTGGTACAATGGTATATTTCTGAAATCCATTGACGAGTTACTTGGAAAGGGTGGAGAGCTACTGGTATCTCCTGAGCTACAAGTTGAAAACCCTGGGTGTTGGTGCATGTAATTTGCCTGGGATCCAGGATACACACTTCCTCAATACTTTATTATATTTTATTATACCAATAATTTACTTGGTCACTGGTGAATCTCCCCATTTTCAGATGGCCGTGGTTGATAGGTGAAATAGCCAATCAAAGACATGTATGGTTTGTTCATATCAGAAAAAAATAAAGGAAATAAAATCTACAGAATCAATCAGAAGCAGTAAACTCAGGTGAGACAAAATAGATTTTTATCTGTAAGTGATAGGTCTATTAGGGTGTGTTCACATTAGTTCTGATTTAGTCATAGACTTGGTTTTGTTCTGTTTTAGTCTAGGCTTAGTCCTGGTGTAGACCTGGTTTAATTTTGTAATTAGTACCAGTTGTGTGTGGTATATGCTATGTGCACCTGTGAATTAGTCTGCATTTTAGGTAAAGCTGTTATGGCAGGCAGCCCGAGGTTATGGACTTTGCACAGACACTGCTTTGGGCTCAGAGGATCAGTCAGTGTTTAATCTGAGCGTCTGTCTCATTCTGACTCACTACAGTAACGCACAACCTCTCACACGTGGCCAGGGGCAAAAGGACTGGACTTTGTTGGTTTTGGAGGGGAGTTTCACACCTGTCAGGGGAAAGATGGACTTATCTCTCCAGAGTAACGCCCCAGATAATGACTAAGCATGAGGAAGTGGTGTGTGACTCAAAATAGTGGCAAGGTTTAAGCAAAAAAACATCAGATTAGAAAGGGAAGAACTGGTCAGGTAACAATACATGGATGGAAAGCAGAAATTTGTTGAACTAAGGAGCCAGATAAAATGTTATTCAATATTTACTACATTTATCATTCATAAAATCAAATGCTAAGTGTGTGCGCTTAATCAATAACAAACCCTAACCGTCTTCCTAACCCTAACCCCTAATTTAATCTAACTGTAACCCAACCCTAACCCCTATCCCAATCTTACTGTAACCCTATCCTGACCTTACTCAAATACACAAAATACTCAAATAATAAAAATGTAATTAAAAAACAGAGCACTTATTTGTTAATTGTTTATTTGATATTCAGTGTGACATTTGGGTGAAAGTCCTAGATCCTCCTGACCCTCCTCCTGAAGTGAAGTTGGTTTTCATCTCTCCTGACATCTGCACATCTATCTCCAGGGTTCCTTTAGTCTCTTCAGACACGGAATCCTGAAGATCTTTGAATGCTCTTGGTTGAACATCATCTTGCTGTCAGGTCAATTGTTAGGTTCAACCCAATGAGGTTACTTCTATTAAATTTAGTTTAGTAGTAGTAGTTTGATAAGTTAAAGTTAACTTAAACTTTGGTTTGAAAAAATATATAATATAGAATAAGTTTTGATGCTTTGGGTGATGGGGATGTGTTTCTGCAGGTCTTTTCAGGCTCCTTTCAGGTCTAAGTTAACTAAGTGTTATGTACAAACAGGACTGTTGCCAAAATAACAAACTGTTGAAAACAGTGATGTTCTTTGTTTTCAGTCATTAAAAGTCCTTGAAAAGGAGCTGGTCCTGTTATAGTGGCGTCATCACGGGCTTTAGTATTAACATTTAAGCCACTGATTCATTCTTCTTCTTTCTTTTCCTTTTTTTTCTCAGGCTTCTTTGACTTTGGGCATAATTTGTATCTTTACTGGTTTTGTGTCTTTACTTTGCGATGTTGAGTGAGCTCGGGCTTGACCTGTGTCTTATTCAGCGGCTTTGTCTCTTCTACAGGAATAGTATGGGGCTCCGACTGAAGGTTCCTCAGTCTTTTTATGGGTCTGGCCCTTCAAATCTCCATGTCTCCAGCATCACTGTTCATCAACTCAGGAGGAAGCTCTGAAGTTCCTTAAAAATATGTGTCTCTGAAATGTGCTTCTCCTCAGGTTCCTCAACATTCCTCAGATGTTCAGCAAGTTCTAAGTTATCCTGCCTCTTGCATCTGTCCATCACCGGTTCTTTGGCTTTGGGCAAAACTTTTGTCTTCTATGCTGGTTTTATGTCCTTACTTTGCAATGTTGATAACTGAGATGCTGTTTTGGGTTTAACTGAAGGCCCCCTCGTGCTTGCTAGTTTGCGTTTTTCCGGTCAGGATGGACTTGACCTGCGTCTTCTTGGGTGGTTTGGTCTCCTCTGCAGGAATAGTGTTCTTATTGATTTTAGGTAGCAGTATTGTACCAACTGCTGGAGGGACATCTTCAGTATATCCTGCCAGGTCTGTGGTTTCAGCATGGAATTGGATGGCTTTATAAGAGCAGCCAAGGGTGGGTTAGGCCAAACTATTTTCCAATGTAAATGTGTTATTTATGTATTTTTGTTCCTAGTGAATGATATAGATATACAGATGATAGATGATATAGACAGAGAAGCCTGGTATTGAAAACAAGAAGCAAAACTAAAGAAACACTTGTGACATTTGGGTAAGCAATTTATAACCCCCCAAAAAGGTCATAAAGTGGGGGGGTTTCACTGTTGTTTAGTCTGCCTGTTAATAATTACAAATAACTGTAAAATTGTTATATTGTCTCTCACTAGAATCATAACACTAACATTTGATATTGTGACATCCCTCGTAAGTTTTTATTTAGTCTCTCAGTCACTTCGTGTTCCCGTTCCTGCTCAGAAAATACAAAATACTCACAATAAAATTATGTAATCTTTCTCACTGCAAGGTTGAGCAATTATTTCTAACTCAAATTTACCTCTCCCCTCATGACATTGCTGATGTCTGAGCACCAAAGTTCCATTCATTACTCTTAAGTTCAAATCCAAGTTGGAACACTTTTGATCCCAGTGTTACTTTTCTTAAACTTTCAGAGCCACGTTAGATGTTTATAATTCAAAGCAGCAGTATTGTTCAGTTCTAAAGCTACATTGTCCAGAACCCCCTTGTCTCATTGCCCCATGTTTTAAACTAATCACCTACAATTAATGTCCTCTTAAGCTGCTGACAGTTTTAAATGTATGTATTTTACCCTCCTCTGCAGCAATCAACCAGGGCACTGTACTTTGCAAACTTCAGAAGTATTCTAAGCTATTCTTTTCCTGATTAATCTTCACTCAGCAGTTACAATCAACTTAATTTCTTGTGACCCCAGTTTATAACACTCTTAAAACATTAACAATTGAGCATCAGTGTCTTGGGTTTTGCAATATTAATGAGTCTAATAATCTTTTATACAAGATCTCTTTTTGTAACAGACAAGTACGTTTTTGGACTAAGCAACAAAATTATAATGAATACATCTAGTTGAAAAGATAAAGTATTTATATAAAAAAGTATGAACATGAATGAAGAAACAACACTTACACAAATTCACATTATTTATGCTGAGGTAGCCGATAGAGAAGTAATTCAATGGATGTCAGAACACAAAACATCTAATGAAAATACTCAAGAACGTTTACCCAAGAACGTTGGTCCAATAATAGGTGATAATATTCTCCCTATTGTGATTTTGCATTGAGCTAAAATGATATAAAATTCCATCCTAGCTTTCTTAACATTACACAATTTTCTCTGCACCAGTGGGTGTAAAGAGTTTTTTCACATACATTAATTGCACCTTTCAAAACTGCACATAGGTCCAATACTGAGGCACACACATTTTTCTCTACTAAAAATAAAGAAAACAGATAGAGTTTTATCATTTTTACACACATATTTTCTTCTTTTTTTGTTCTCCACCTGCTGTTTTTTGATAGTATTGTGTAAGACAGGGGTCTCCAACCTTTTTCCTGCGGTGAGCCTCCTTGCCAAGATGGAAATGCTAGAGAGCAGTAGTATGAAACTGAGTACATAGAAGAGCCATAAATGGGGTACAGTTAGATGCCTATGAAACATAAACCATTATCAAGTTATTGTATGTTGAAAGGATTAGGTACAGGGACGGGGTCACAGGGGCTTAAGGAGGTAGTGAGCGAGGTGCAAATTCAATATACTTGAATACAAACTGCATGGTTGGGGCAGGTAGGACAGGCTTGACGGTAGACAGTGCCACTGGTGCACTGCAGACTGAGCATGTTGCTTTTTTCACCTTTGCACAAAAAGACCAGTAGATGGCGCAAGGTCTTACCATTTTCTCAAGTCATGTCTGCAGGGTGCTCCTTACCACAGTGGCATACAGGGCTCCTCTTTCACCTCCTTTGAACACAGTTTTATGGAGTTGGAAAAGCATCAGTATCCCATACCTCTTCATTATCAAAGTTATTCAATGCCAAGAGCTTGCCTGAAATGAAAAAGAAGAGACAAAAGTGAGGGTTAGGGTAGCTAGTGATTGTGTTATCAGTGGAGCACCAGTGGCAAATACTGTTGTTGTGGTAAGACACTTCACTCACACACTCAGCTCTGGATACAGTAGTTACCACCACTAAGAGTGAAGTGAATGGATAATACAATTGTAAATTTAATAATTTTTATTATATATATGTAGTTACCTGTATATTTTGTTAGTTGTGCAGTTCAGGAGCTTCTTTCCCCAGATACTGTGTGTGAGCTGATTGACCCTGTCCATGAGGGCACTGCTGTGGGACAGGAGGCTATGTGTGCCCTTAGTGAAGTCCTACACGAATCAACTCTGTATTCTCACACTGTGGACAAGAATGAGGACTGAGCAGGGTAATGCCAAAATGTGTCAATAATTGTGGAGTTCAGTTCAGACAGGAAACTGTCACACCACCTGAAGAGGGCATCGGAAATCCAAAACTGGTCAACTTCACGCAGATATATTATCTAGCCACTAGGTAAGCACGGCGAGTCCTCTACATGGGGATATAAAACAATAAACAATAACAAAAAACAAAAAGTTAAGTTAAAATGTTTGATTAATATTTCTATTTGTTGTGTGGACATTTGTTGACAGAGGTGTTACAGCTAGCAGGTTTATTTAAAAATGTGTTCTTTGCAGGGAATTATGTAATACTAGTATAATAAACGTAGCAATTCTACACTTTTAATAGAAAATTTGATTTGAATGCAACTGTAATGAAAACTTTACGAAGGAGATCATCATGCTTTATTTCCTTATTCACAGGAGTGGAGGAAGCTTCAGCCCGAGAGGAGGGGTCGAGGGCTGCTCTTCATTCATGGAAATGCAGTTATTCAGTTCTAGAAATAAAGTATGACAACATGGACACAATCAATATGGATACATCAGTTATATGAAGTGGAACACATCGTGCCTCATATCTTCTGTTTAGTCACTGTGACTATTGGTTATACAAAGCCAAATTTCATGTTTCATTTGTTTTACTTATTTATACAGTTAATCTATGGTTGTGAACAATGGTGCAATGGATGCAGACTCATAAATGTTATGTTATGTATTTGTTATGATTGTATGCATGTATGCCCTACTTTTTTTAATGTTGTTGCTGTTGTCTTTGCATGATGGTATAATAATACGTTAAAAAAAACTCACAGAATAAGATGGCAACCGTAATTGTAATAGCGCATTTGAAAGAGAATACGAGCTAGTTTTTGCATGAATAACAATACTGTGATAGACATGTTAGCTATTTTTTTCCAGCAAGCATTATTTTAATTTATTATATTTTTAACGCAGTTCGAAGTTTGTATATCGCAAATTTGTTGCACTTATCTTATTTTTATTCATTGTGTTGCTCATAAGATTTAGTAGTCTTCAGGGCATCGCGGTAAACAGTAGCAAAGAATCTGATTGGTCAGATCAACTATGCGGGCGGGTGTAAACCTAGCAAGACGCTCCCTGATTGGTCGAACGAGTAGTAAGTTTGACAGTAATTGTTGTTGTAGTTCTTCTGCTCAGCCACTGCGGGGCAATATTTACTCGTGTAAAACAGCACAATGTAACGCTATTTGAAGTAAAAATTTAAAACTGCATGAATTTCACACATGCGACCTCATTTGTCTTCTTAACTTACATGATTTGAATACGTACTTTTAATATTTTAAGCCATTTTTAAACAATAGAAATAAAATACACCTCTTAGTTTGAAGCTTAATTTATTCACAATACAAACATGGAATTTACAACTCCAAATAGGCACAAAACAAACTCAGATTTGTAAGGAGAAAAACAGTAGGATTGGTGGAAATGTAGTGTCAAACCATTGGTGCATTTAAAACAGTTCATTTGAATGTTACACACGTCCGAGATCTGAATCTAAGTCCTCAGCTAAACAAGAATAATCCTATTTACGAAACAGCCCCTATGCACTTTCATTGACCATAGAAAACAATGGGATAATGACTCAGGAAGTTTAATGCAGTGATTTTCAAACTGTGGTGCAAGTACTGCTAACAGTCTGTGGGATTTTTTTCAGTGGTGGTGTGGGTCCTTGTTTAGTGCTTGTTAAATCTGAGTTACATTCTGTTTTTAATCTCATTTTGTCTGTCTTAATTTAGGTTAAATATTCGTAAAATCCATTTCTTCCAAAGCATTATATTCACTTTTAAACTGAGGGCCTATAGATATTAGCTATAAATAAACAATGACCAGTTTTGTCATGCTTTTTGTTTCTAAAGTGGTAATTTCAGTTCAACAGTTTGAGAATCAGTGCTGTTTAAAGGTACACTACGTAACATTTCTCAGCGAGAACATTTTCTTGGCCATCTATCTCCATTTTAGACTAGCAGGTGTTGAAAACAAAGCAATTTTGTACAGGGTAGATCTGTGGAGAGGCGATACAGCTCACAATAAGGTAGTAGCAGTGTATTTTTCAGTGTATTTTTGAGCTATATAAACACCGATAATGAAATAAATGCTAGATGGACAGAGTAAATGCCATACAGTGGAAGTTTTATACTTAGGTGATGCTCCTACATCCGAAAAGTTACGCAGTGTTCCTTTAAACGCATCCAACCCACACATTCTCCTTTCTTGAAATTGTCTTCATTCTTGGTCGACCTCAAAGCCCCCAGCAGTTCTGCATCATCAGCACAAAAGCCAAAACAAACACACTTTTGTTTAGCCAGCTCCTGTGGCCAAAGTCGTAAATTACCAGAGAAAAATACGCTCAGAGGCATGAAAGGAAACATCAATTCAGCAAAAAAAAAAAACAAGTCTCAGGAATGTCCAGTATCCAAAACAAAAGTCTATTTTAAGTTTCATCACAATATTTTGACATTTTAAGCAGAGGCTTTTCAAGGTGATGTGCCTCCTTGTGGTTCCATTACTCCAGGTAAATGTTAATAATATGATGACTTAATAGTAGCTTTTCTTCAAAACTAATACAAGACTGCTGTGTTGTCTTGGTTTGAATAGTAAAAGTCTAATTGCTGCACACCCAAAGCCCTATGTGTGATCTGACGCACTGCCCAGATCACGCTCCAAGGAAGAAACTAACATACAAACAATGAATTATACACAAATGTTAAACAGGTCCATATTTGAAGAGTCTTCAATATTAGAATGTTTAAAGAAAGTAAAAGTAAGCACCTTTCAGACCCCACAATCATTGTCTCTATTTTGATATTTTTATTTGCCTGGAAACCAGAATACACACTTCTTCAGTACATTACGAAGATGTGAGTCTGGTCACCGGTGACTCTCCACATTTTCAGATGGGCATGACTGACAGGTGGATTAGCCAATCAGAGATATGCATGGTTTGTCCATATCGGAAAAAATAAAGGAAAAATATATCACAGGGGGCTGAAAAATATTGGAAGATTTCTGCAGATTCACTGCGCGAAGTACTAAACTCTGTTAATCTGAGACTAATTTGATTATTATGAGTACATGATAGGTGACCAGTGAGCTCCTTCATTTCACAAAAAAACAAAACAAAATGTGATTGCACAATCATGTTTGCTTCTGACTCGATATGTGACAAGAGAGTGTGGGGACCGGACTGATATCAATCTGTATAAAATTACAGGGAGATGTCATTCTAGATTTGAAAATATTTTCTGTCAAATATTTTCTGAGGATTTGAAATATTTCCTGTCAAATTTTGATTATGGCGCATCGCCAAAACCTTAATTTTATATTTGAAAATGTTAGTTATTGCTGGTTATTGAGTTAATAATAATAACAATAAAACATTTATTCATATTTATTTAAATGTATTATTTATTATTATTTATTTAACTAAATGATATCAAAAAGATTCCATTGTTAGGTCTGAAGGTGGCCTAGTAGTAACTAAAATGTAAAACTGATCCTTCATAAAACCGCAGAGAAGTAGCTACAGTGTGGAGGTAGAAACAGAAAATGAGCTTTTAAGACAAACTGCTAAGATATTTCTGATCTAAAAGCATTTCAAGTAGTATGAGAACATTGGAGAAGCATACTCTACAATGCTGTTTTGCTAATTTACAGTAAAATCACCAAGACAAGACAAAATTAAACTGGAAATTGGCCGGAAGTATATGTACACAATGGCCCATATGTGTACCATATAAAAAGAAACATTAATGGATGGAGCAAGACTTTTTAGTTGAAATTATATCACTGTTTTTTTGAAGAAATGTGCATTATTTTACAAATACAAAGTGCTTTTTTCTCATTCACCTTTTTGGTTTTTAGTGCCTTAATTTGAAACATTTAAAAATATACAATGAAAAAAAGATCTACAACTATAAACATGACATTGTCCACTATATGCACTAAAAGTTTTTGCCGTCTTCTCAGAAAACGCTGGTCCAAATCTTAAAGCTTATGTTAGGTATCCGATGTTGCAGACTTGGGGCTTGTAGTGTTGAGAAAAAAGTGGAAAAGATGAATTATGGGTGGAATGGTGTTCATAACAAGTCAAAAACAAGGCACTCTCCTCTCTCGTACAGTTCTAGATATCCATGACAGTCATTTTTTGCCAATGAACAAATTTTGCAAGGTTAGAGGTTCAATTCCCGCCCCCTTCCATGATAACTTTGAATGGGTTTCTTCTGAGTAGCCTAGACTTAACCGAATGTACGTAAAGGGCAGGAAAATAAATAAAAAAGACAATTTTTGGGAGCCTATTCGTATAACTTCATGTGCAACAGTGTGTTCAGGTGCAAGTGATCAGACTGGGCGGATTGGGCGGACTATTTGTGACTGATGTCCAGATACTAGACCAAAGTCAGATCTAGTGTCACTGAAGAAAATAGTTTGTTGTACCACAGTTGAGTTCTCGTCATTGCAAACCCACTCGAAAGGTCCAAACGGTGCCAAAGTTTCAGTTCACTGCTGTGTCTGTGAAATCTCAATAGTTCTTTCAGAGATTAAGGGTGAGAGATAGCGCCTCCAGCTGCTCTTCTCCCAGCCTCTGCCTCTCCTCTAAGTCCTTCTGTCGGATGAGGAGCGACGCCTTGGTCTGGACGTAGCGCCTGTAGTCCTGGAGCTGGTCGGGGCTGAGCTGGCGGGACAGGAAGGCCGAAACCTGGCTCTCCCTTCGGTCCAGGTTATCCTTCAGGTCTTTGGCGTCGTCCCTCTGTTTGCACAAGAGACGATGGCGGCTGTCCAGGGATTGCTGCAGAGAGAGAAAAATGATGAATCAGGATTAGAAGTACTATGGGCTTCCAACAGACAGAAAATATATGTTTGCTTATACACAACAGAATATTTAACCAGTTACAGGGACCATGAAGGATTAAATCATTTTACATCCCTATTTCCATCCATATAATTACCAAGAAAATACCATGTTTCCTGGAAATTTACGGCATTAAGCATGGGACAAGATCTCATGCCACAAGATCTTGTGATACAAAATATCCCTTGAGTTACATCTCTTATAGTACCAAAAAGCAGTACTAAAATGACAAGATATTAAACAAAATAAATATTAAATTGTGGGGCCAACGATAGAAACTGAATTGCACAAGTATTATGTTCAAATCTTGTCTCATTCTCGTGGACCCAATCTCGTATTTCATCTTGTCTTGTGTTCATATAGTTGAGGATAAAGCCTATGACAGTTTGAACTACTCATTTCACTAAAACACAGTTCAATTATATTTAGGATTTTACAAAAAAAAAAAAAAAAAAAAAAAAAAAAAAAAGCCCAGTTTATTGATCTTATTTCCTGGTTTAAAATCATCTTATTTAACAAATAAAAATATAAGAAAACACCTTCACCTTGTTTAAATAATAGTTTAAGTATCTGAAAAAATGTGTTTTGTAAGCACAAATTGTGCTGAACTTTGGGACATAATTCTCCCTAGTATGATGTTATCAATAGGGATGTAACAATAACTGAAATATCGTCATATCGTATCGTCAAAAGTCTCACAATAATATCGTGGGCTGTCACAATATATTGAATTACAAAATCCTTTGCTTAAATGCCAATTTTTTAGTAGCAACAGCTAATAAACATCGGGAACTACATGTGCCATGATTCATTTCAGCGCAGACAACATGAAGAAATATGTTTTTACTTGAAATCTTGGGATTTCTTGTCAAGGTATTTTAAAAGCAAAAAAGCATTCTATCTACTATTATATCAGCCTCTCCAAATATCACAATAAATATTGTACCAAGAGATGCATATTGTGATAATATTGTATCGAGATTTGGATATCGTTACATCCCTAGTCATCAATATAAAACTCGTATTACCATTAAATAAAGTAGGTAACACTTTATAATAATAACTACACTTGAATTTTGCCTTAATAAAGCTTGATTCAATGTGAACAAATAGTATATTAAGAATGATTCAGGCTCAGTAACTACTTAATTACTACCCTAATTCTAGCCCCTTAATTAAAAGTTACCCTTGCTATATCTATCATGGAAAAAAGAAGAACAATTTTTATTGTGTATTTAATTTTTACAATGACTTGCTAAGAAAATGAGCATATCAAAGCTCTAAACATCATCAAATTACCTTGTGCCATATGGTCCAGTGTTAAAACGTGCAACGGCTTTGATAACAGAAAATAAATGTGTTTACAGAGGATTATGAGCTGTGTCCAAACTGTCACTAATGCATAACACACACGACTGCAGCAAGTTTAGGTGCTCAAGTTCCCACTCCTACAATGTGTATGATAGCACTTGATAGCATGTTCAGAATCCTAACATGTCTGGGTGCCATTCAAAACCTTTCGGAACTTAAAAGTACTGAAACAATTGCTGACTTACAATACTGATACCTGAATATTACCTACTGTACCTATCCAGTGTTAATTATTATCTAAGCTCTTGAGCAATAAAGCCAAATAGATACTGTGTAAAAACAACTTTTGGCTGGATGCAGCTTTATATAATTATATTTGTTTATGTTTAATCAGGACCCACCCAGGTTTAAAGGTCGTATATTACCGAAAATTGAGTCTTGTGACCCTTTATTAGTCTGTCTACATCTCCAAAGCTCAATGCTCTGTTCCACCTTGTGGTCATGAAAATGTAGTTTTCAAGTTAACAGCTACCTTCTATCTTTAGTTCAGTAGAGACTGGCAATTCCAGAGCTGAAATCATCCAAATGATTCTAATGAAGGTGTAAGGAGTTTAAAAACACAGTGGAGCACTTCTTGTATTACCACATGAAATCACAAGGTAGAAGTGGAGTGTTTTCAGTTCGAGAGAAGAACTGAGCCTAAATCTGCAGGATTTGTGTATTAAACATGTACAAAATATAACATAGATCAAAAAGAGCTAAATGCATTTTTAAAAGTAAATAAATATGCAGAAAAAAGTTACCAATTCTGATCAATTCAAAATTCAGTATAAAAAAAGAAAAATTATAAACCATTTCAGATGAGAATGAGGTTCCGAAGATACATATAAACATGATTATTATATTTCCATGACTGAATAAACTCTAAAGTGAATATACAAAGGTACGTTATTGTTTGCAGAGAATCATTCGTTGTGTACATATGGCTTCCCTTTAAGCCTCTGGGAGTAGACTTCTCCTGTGCAGAGGATGCAGTGTTGCCTTGAGTCAACAGAGGGCAGGGGAGATGCAAATGTCATCGAAACTGAACTGGAGTTTCGGTGAGTCAGTGTAAATACCACGGGCGCTGATAACGACAGGGGGAAAAAAAGCATAAGCTGCTAACAAGCCCTGCGCATGCGGCCATTAGCAACAAAGAGCTCATTCAGGAGCTAAAGGGGAATTTAATGCATCCATGCAAACATAAAGTGACAGAGACATGCAGTGCTGGCTAATATAAGGGGAAAGAAACTAGTTAATGATTTATTTGTGAAAGCAATTTAAGTCTGTGTTTAATATGATGAATGAAAAAATAATGTTTCATGTACATATCTCAGTATAGACTAATAGATAATAGACTAATCGCAGGTTCAAAATAGTTGATTTTAAATGGAGGTCCAAAGTTATTATTTTATATTTATACCAGTTATTCACTGTGAAGAGTTTATAAGGGCTTTTCACAACTTTCAGGGGCCAGAGTGGGTTTTAGCATCACAGTAATGCTAACAACAACTAGAATGCTAATGGTGCACTTCCTGATTGTCATGCACTGCTTAAATACATATATCTACTGGGGCAAGACAGCCCCTTTTGAAATAACATTTACTGTATTTTTTTGTTTGATGCATCAAATTGATAAACTATCTTCCTCTACTCTTAGTATATTTAGTTTGAAATTCAATCCAATCCAGTGAATGATTTTATATACAAGGTTTTGAATTGTTAGTATATTAGTAAATTGTTCTCATTACTACAAATTACAATGTTTTAACCTTTAAGTAAAAGCAATGCTATACAAATCAAATGCTATGGAAAAATTCAACTAAGTTGTGTGTTGCAAATATTATTAATGCTTTACTTTGTGGTAACCTCGTGAACAGAACACGCTGCAGATAAAATTTGTTTCCTGTCACTCCCCACTGATACTACAAGACAAATGTGTATTAAAATGCAATGTGCTGGATAACTGAGAATCAATATATAACCCTTATCTTGAAATGCGTAGTTCTTTACGGCTTTAAAGTGCATTAAAACACCATAGAGGTGATAAAACGCATAGACATTTTTGGAATACCAGAGCGGACATTAGCTGCACTGGTTTTGCCCTTCACCTTTTCCCAGGCTGTGTGTTTGCAGATCTAAGTCAACATGACAGGAGCGTGTCCTGGGGACAGCCACGCCTCCGGGGACAGGACAGGATCACAACTCATGGAGGATATGGGGCATTCACGTGACTAAATGGGCTATAGGAAGAGGTTCAGGGACATTTCTGCAAATAAAAAAGGGTATGTATTGTATTGTATGTATTGTATTTTTCAGAAGTGGAAAAAAATGCTTTGGTTGTTACTATTGCACCACCACATAAATGTGCTTAAATTATAACGATGAAGTACAGTTTTTTTCTCTCTCAAGCATAGGAAAAGGTAGATTGTTAGAATGTATACATGGAGCTTTTTAAGCAAAGAAAAAAAAATCATACTACAATAAAAGTATGTTTTTTAAATTTCATTGAATCGAAAGAATTTAAAAAACATACTTATTGTGAGCAGGCTTGCATCTCCACAAACCTGACCTGGAGGGGGCCTTCACCAATATTCCACAGTATGGCATAAACCCTGTGTATCATCTTTATGGAAAATGTTCCAAAATATGGTTTTAACTAGCCATATACACACACTCAAACAAAACAAAACAGAACATCTCTAATCAGAGTAAGCCCTCTGGATAATGTGTTTTGTCGTCTGATTTTGACCAGTATGGATATTGAGACTACAGTCGAATGACCAGGTTTTTTTTTGTATATTATCATAGACTGTATAAAGGAGTGGGTGTGATGTCAACCTCGCCAAGGCCAGCAGTTAAAGGAGCAAATTTGGAGCCGAGAGCCATATTAGGAATAGGAACTGATTTGCAGACAAAATAATGAAATAAAAACACCAGGATCATGTAGACTGGGTTACTACAAACATGCCTGACAGCAGCCGTTATGGAGAGAGGTGCAGTGTCTTTTCACTGTATATATACAGCCTATGATTCCAACAAAAACTGCATATTTAATCCCTCCTCTTTAAGTGTGTACCTTCTCCTCTGCATCGGTGTGCTGGTCCACGGTGCTCAGGGCGTTCTGGACTCTTGCCAGCCGTGCGGACAGACACAGCAGCAGACTGACCACTCGCTCCAAGTCTCCCATGAACAGGTTGTAGCGCTCCAGCTCCACGGGCAGACAGCGTTCACGCACAAGGCCCTGCAGCGCCTCACCCCTCTGAGCGTTCTCATCCATCTCAGTCTGAAGAGCCGTGCGGGAGTCAGCCAAAGAGCGGAGACGGTCCTCAATGTACGAAACCAGCAGGTGCTACAGTAGAAAAAGAGGAGAGCGTTCAGGCAAAGGGTTTATTAGATGTACTGAAGTATAAACCAAAAAAAATTACTTGTTTTTTTTAGAATGTTGTTACTTCATCAGAAATATACCTGGAGTTGTGTTTTGTTTCATTCGTTCCTGGATTATTAGGCTATCTGCATCCCCAAAGCTCAAAATGCACTGTTCCACCTTGTGATGTTATGAAGCTGTGTAGTTTTAAAGTTAACACCTACATTTTACCTTTAGTTCAGTAGAGACTGGCAATTCCAGATCTGAAATTATCCAAATGATTCTAGTGAAGGTGTGTGGAGTTTAACACACAGTGGGGCACTCCCTGTATTATCACATGACATCACAAGGTGGAACAGAGTGTTTTCTGTTTGAGAGAAGAACCCAGACTAAATATGATTTGTGTATGGAACAAAACACAACTCTGGGCATGTTTGTGAGAAGGATAAAAAAATAAAACATAAATCAGAAAATAGTGTAATATACCGCGCTGTCATATTTTCATTATTCCCAAATTGGATTAGTGGATTTTTGCACATTTTTAAATAGGTGTAGCATAATCGTTGCATGTGTTGAACAGTTAAAAGTAAAGTTTGCTGATCAAAGCAGGAGACAGAGAGATAAGCTGCAGACAGTACATCAGAAGATAAGAAATGACTTTATCAGACTGAATGGGTCCACTCCTTTTAAGGCCAAATAGCTTCTACGGATCAATGTCAAATGGAGAAAAACGTTCATATATCTAATAGTGAATGCATGTGTGACTGACAGCTTGTACTAGTATGTTTAAAGTGAGTATGACAGGCTTTGATGACTCTAATTTGTACTTAATTTGGTGCTATAATACTTGCTGTAAACATAAATTATAGTTTTACGCCAACCAAAAAGCCGTTTCTGTGAAGAAAAGTTGAAAAATATGTTGTTAATTTAAACATGATTTCAACAAAGTAAAGGTGTTTTCTCATCATTTTATTTGTCAAATAATAATCTGTGTACATTAGAGAAATTTTGGCATACTGTACTTCATAGTTGCTAGGTAACAGTTATGAAATACTCTAGCGTAATGTCAGGATTTACAACCAAGAAGTAAAATTTGAAACCTAAAAAATGGCCAAATTGGAAAAGAAAGTGTAAAATGTTTTGTTTTTGTAAGTTATATGGCATTTAGAGTTACTGAGATTTGCTTTTATGAGTGTTTACGTAACAACTTAAAAGTATAACAACCATGTTTAATGTCATATAGGAGGTCGATGATGGAAATTTATTTTGGCTCTGTCCTTGTAACTGTTTGCTTCTCGTATTGATTCGGTGCTTTTCTGTATGATGCCGTTTTGCTCAAACACGTTTGCTACTCTTTTCCTCACTCACTCCTTTTTTCTCTTATCAAATATGAAACAATAGTGATAAAATCCAAATTGTGAATGAAAATGTGTTTTATTTTTGGCCAAGCCCAACAATTTGTGTTATTGTCCCCTTTTTCAGGCTTCCTAGAGGCATCTACATTGTAACTAAGTTGTGATTATTTGTAAAAATTTGAACAAAATAAGTTGCATTGTAAATTTTTCAAAACACACATTTTTATAGAGATACATTTTGTGGTAAGAGATTTCATAATGTTATTTTGAGAAGTTACTTTAGTCACCTTTTTCTCTTTGATGTCCGCTTTGCTCTGTGCATCCAAGTTTTGGGAGGATGGACAGGAAAAGGCCTCTGTGATTTCTGCCACTTCAACACTGCAAAACAAGAACAAAAACAAAACATATTAAATTCTGTTATTAAAGGGCCTATATTACATTATTTTCTAGTCAAGTTTACGCTTCCTCATCAGAAACATACCTGGAGTTTTGTTTTATTTCAATCACACAAGTTTAAGGGCCTGTTTACACGACAAAATATTTTATCGGAAGTGCCTTTCGTTTAGACGGTGACAGCGTTTTGGGGCTTAAAAACGCAAAAATCTGAAATCACCGTCCAGTGTGGAAAAGTTCAATACGCTTCACTGTAGCGTATCTGTCTACACTGCCCAAGACGCAAAACTTTGGTCCGATTTGCTCACGTCATGTACGCGTTTACATCACATACATACAGTACACAGAAACCTGGCATGCATACCCAGTCGAGTTCCCGACACTTTTGCGTCACCATATGCACGCAGATTTCCTCCCGAAAACAATCGTCTAAACGCGGAATAAAAAGTGAAGACACGACACCACTTTTGCGTCTTCTGTTCACACCGTCATCATATAAACGTAGCCTAAGACAGAAACTCTGCATATTTAGGGTGAGAACAGAAAACACAAGCGGTGCCCCCCTGTGTTTTCCTCCATATACCTTCATTTGGATGATTTCAACCCTGGAATTGCCCTTCTCTGCTGAACTAAAAAGTAGCTGTTAACTTGAAAAATACCAGCACATGACAAAGTATCACAAGGCGGAACAGAGTATTTTGAGCTTTGGAGATGTAGACAGACTAATCATGCAGGATTACTCAAACATGTGTGAAACAAAACACAGCGTAAATTAAAGCTCACATTTTCTTTAAACCTTTAAATTCTGTTTTTGAATTCACTCTTCTTGTGTGATGGAACCTACGTGGACAAATAAAGAGATTACACAAATATCCTATTAAAGCAGGACCAACTAGGCCTGCTCAGTTATGGAATTCATGGTCATACGAATTAACATCTTGAGTATTTGAAAGTGTTTTGTTTTTTTTAATTCTGTTTTTCATACCGTTATGACCTCAGTAAAACAAAGATACTGTATTTGAAAAGGACACATGAGTCAAAAAGTTTCAGCACTTAAAACGGCTTTCCTCAAGATTTTACGAAGCAGAAAAAAGAAACGCCCCTTGATTCACACGCAAAAAAATATAAATAGCCTTCCGATGACACTTGTTTTGTAACTGGTCAGAGCAATAAACTTAATGATTCCCGTTTGATTAACCAAACAGCCCTTGTTCCAGCACAACATCGGTGCAATGTCCATCTGTCAGTCAACATAATAAAGCGTTATAGTTCCCGCATGTGAGAGTATCGTGACGTGGTGCTTACACTGGCAGAAATATGAGCGCAGGCCGGAGCAGGTGCCAGATGATGCAACAAAAGGAAACTCAATAAGAACCACACGAGCCACCAGAAACCAGTATCACTGAGAAATGTTAAACCGCTAATATAGGTTTCAAAATGGCTTGAATAGGTCACTAATCCCCATTTTCTTACATAAAACCCAATTAATTTTGAGTTATTATATTCCGTTAAATGTTCAGTTATTACAGTCTCATGCTGAGTAATGAGTCACTGCTAGAACAATTAGTGTACTTAATGTTACGGCATTTTATAATTAAGTCTGGAATTACTAAAAGGTTTAAAGTATTAATGTTTGTTGCCCTGTTTAAATCAGATTTTAATTTATTGCAATATGAGTTAACCATTGTATTTTGATTTATTTATTTTATTTCCTGATTTATTTGTTTTATTTTTTTGTTGAAACTTGCCGTACATGTAAACAGTGGTTTAATTTTAGAAAAAGAAGTGTTGCAGGTGGTATTGCAGTTTCAACATGCAGTATATTATGTTCCTATGTCCCCACCCCCAAAAAAAACAAAAAAAAGAAAGAAAAAAAGAAAGAAATAAAATGAAAAAATGACTTGGAAAGCAGAGTTGGTCTATTAAAATCAGCAGAGTGAAAGTTCAAATGCTAATGACCTACGTTTTTATGCTGGCCTTCTGCTCCTGAGCAAGACACTTCCATACATTGTGTTGATGAACTTTGCTTTCTTGAGAGTAACTAAATAACTAGATAAAATCGAAAAATAATAATGGTATATGTAACGTGACAATGTTTAGTTTAGGTTATTGTCAAATTCTCTACACTCTCTTGAACAAATTTTATGAACCCGGTGTACCTGGTAATTTTAAACCCATATAATTAATATATAATAGATTGCTTGGTTTAACATTGCACTCACCTCTCTCCTTTCTGCTCCTGTTTCTTCTTGTAGTGCTCCTCCATCAGCAGCGTGTCCTCCGACAGCAGCTGCTCCATCAGCATTAGCGCCGTCTTCCTGTTGGCGAGCGGGTACAGCACTCTGGCCAGCGATTGGTCGGCTTTAACCATGCACACCACGAGCTCCTCCCACTGCGGTTTCTCGGCGGGGGTCTGCTGAACCTCGGTCTCGCCCTCAGGTGTACCCCTCTCCTCCAGTTCCGCGTTTTGTCCCGAGTTTTCGACCTCATTTTTGGGTGCGTTCTCCTCATTCGCTTGTTGAGTGACGTCCTGATCAGAGACGGAGTTGCTGGGGGACTCGGGGGCTGGACTCGTTTCGGCGGGAGGGGCGGCGCTCGAGGATTCGGCGGTGAACGCTTCTGTCAGCTGTGGATTTGGGGCATCCTGTCTGAGTTGGTCTTCGGGGGGCGGCGGGGGGAGGAGCCAGAGGGAGGGGTCCGTGGTAACGCCGCAGCTTAGGGACACTTCCTGGTTTGGGTCGAGAGGAGGTGGGGGAGGCGGGGGAGGCAGGTCTGGGATGAAGGGTTCGTCCACGGATTCTTCGACCTCTGACACAGATGCGGAAGATCTGGTTCTATGAAGTAAAACAAAATATTGACAATGAAGTTTATTTTGCTAATAAAACAAAACTAATGGCAAAACAGCACACTATTTATTGTACACATAGACTGTATAAAGAAGTGGACTATGGGAGCGTGACATCGCCATAGCATTCCGCTTCAGCCAAATGAAGCTAATTGAGGCTTGCAGTTATGGTAAATGGTCACACTTTTATATAGCGCTTTTCGACCTTTAAGGCACTCAAAGCACTTTACAACAAGGAACCACTCACCCATTCACACACAAATTCATGCACCAGAGTACGCAGACACTGGGGGCGAGGTAGGTTAGGTGTCTTGCCCAAGGACACAATGACAGCATTCATCTGTGGGAACTGGAAACCCACCAGCCAACCAATGATGTTTATGTCGAGAGAGATTTGAACGGCCAACCTTTGGATCAGTGGACAAACGCTCTACTAACTGAGCTACTGTCGCCCCAATACACAGTATATTATTATAGAGGTGGATTTTGAGCTGACCACAAGTATCATAGCAACCAAAGAGCCAATCCAGAGCGAGAATGTTGAAGGTAAAGCCCCTTCCCACCTACACCGCTGGTTTAGGAAGTTGTCTCTTACAACACTGTCAATTAGGGATGTAACAATAACCGAAATTACGTGATATCGTATCGTCAAAGTTCTTACAATAATATCGTGGACCATCACAATATATCGAATTACAAGTTTCTTTGCTTAAATTAAGAGTTATGGTGCAGTAATAGCTAAAAAAAAAGACAGAGGGAACTACATAGACCATGTTCCTTTGCTCCATTTCAGTGCAGACAACAAAAAGAAATAACAGTTCTAAGCACTTTTAAGTCTTAGTTCTTTGGATTAAGTCTTGTCAAGGCATTTTAAGAGGAAAAAGTAGCATATTACCATTTTTTTTAGCCTCGTACCGTGAGATGTATATTGTGAAAATATCGTACCGAGAGATTTGGATATTGTTATATCATTAATCATGAGCCTCCCCACCATATCGTGAGCTTTTCCATGATATCGCAATAATTATTGTACCGTGAGGTTCATACCGTGATGATATCGTATTATGAGACTTGGATATCATTACACCCCTACTGTCAATCAAACCTGTTGCTGTTGCGGGAGCGACCTTGGGGAAACATGGCAGATCTTTGGTCTGTTATTAATGTTTATATCTTGATTTACTGACAAAATAGTGAGGAAGAAAAACACCAAGATCATGTAGAGCAGGGGCGACGTTTCTTCAAGTGAATTGGAGTCAAAGCTGATGGAACCAGGAACGTGCCCATGCTCACGTCCTATCGCTAATACAGCTAGACAATACATATAATTATTACATATATAACACTGATGAAAGCTCTCCATAGCATTACAAAAACTCCACTAACCACCAGGTTGTTGTGTAGTTGGTCCTATCCCACCCTGGAACAACCCTGGCATTGATGCTGGCTGTAACCTTACCTGGGGCTTAGCCTGTTCTCATAGCCGGCCTTTGTCCATGTAGGGCTGGAGGAGGCGGATTTCCTCTCCCTCTCACCGGGGTCCTGACCTGAGGGGCACTCCGGAGGGTTAGTCCAGGGCTCAGTGGGGATGGCCCCGTGAGAGTGAATCCTGGTCCGCATGGAGAAGCTGGATCCTGGTGAAGAGCTGGAATCCTGGCTCTCTAAAATGTCATCATTACCGCCCAAAATTGGTTCAGAGTTTTGCTTAACGGGGGACTTTTTCTGTTTTGGTTGTCCCTGAGTGCTTTGCTTTTGTAAGTCTGGATTTCTTATGATTTCTTGTGATTTTGAGATTTTATTTTGCTCTTTAAAGTCTTGTACATTATTTGAAACCATCTTCCTGTTCCTGTCTGGTTCATGTCGTATTGAATGCCTGCACAGTGTGTCCAGTTGCTCGGTGCTCTTGCTCAAAGCTTTTGGCCTTGTAAATTTTGCAGTTCCCAGCTCCTCCATAGACTTGCCCCTCTGAGCGACCACACGGACCGGCTGCTGCCCCTGCGCCTTCACTGGACTGTCCGCTGTTAAGTCCTTATGGGGACTGCAAAAGACAAGAATTCAAGTATAATAGGTTAAAAAGGTTCATAGGCTTGAGTCACATTGTGTACATTACACAAAATGTTATTGCCATTAAGCTATGCATGTTAAGAAGTGAAGTAAAATATATGGATGTAAATTTTGACAACAGAAATCTAAATCTGGCTTGTATTTATCAAATTACAGCTATTTTTATTGCTAAAAACAAATCATTAAGAGTGGGGTTGTTTCTCCACAGATCTTTAACTTAATCTCAAGGACATAGACATAGATGAGTTTAATTCAATACTTTGGAACATTCCAGGTCAAAGCAAACACTGGACCCATATTGTTTCAGGTGAATCTTTAAAAATATGGTTCTGCTGCATACATTTAGTACATTTCAAATTGGAAAAAGGCTAAGCATCGCTCACCTGTCCTCAAAAAACACACAAAGTAAGTGAGGAAAATATAAAGTATGACCCTTTCTGTGCCATCTTTCCGGCCAGTAACATAATGCACACTATAACGTTAACAATAAATTCCTTCTCATGCATTTACACTGAGAAACTGAAGTCTTGTAAACTCCTGAAATGTTTTCACAAATGTGTCCCACCAATATCCCCTTTCAACCTGGCCTGTCCTATTTACACACAGGTTAGAGGAGAGACAGTAAAAATTCAAGCCATTTAGAACTTTGTAGGGCATTTCTGGTCTATTGTAAACATGTGAACTCTTTTATACAAAAGGTCTATATAGAGCTTATGTGTGCTGACACTCACTTTTTTAAAAGGTAATAGTTGCTTTTACTGGTTTAAAGCCAATGGGATGCCATTATCTTTCATGTCACATCATAGAGTCTTTGGGCTTATTACAAGTATGTTTTGTCATAGTCAACCCCCCAGGAGCTCATTTTACTTTTTTACTTTTAGGAATCAGACCACAAAATGGAAACAAACTTTATGACATCTAATACGGCTTTGTAAATGTGAATATATCAACAGTACAATTGCTTTTAGTAAAATCCATACTTTATTTATTGCTATATGAGGACAGAGATGGCAATGTTTATGAAATCATTAAAAGTCCTCTTTGAAACTGGTAGAGGGTTCCCCACTTGTTTGTCTCCATGGAGTTGTTAAATTTTTTTGTATTCCTTACTTTGGCTGGAACGTTACACAGTCTCCATGTACATTTATTCGACTACAGGTGTTGTTATTGCTAAAAATACATGCATTCTTATTGTGAATGGCCTTACAATGGAACAGGCAAAGCAATGGTATTAAACCTTTCATCGTCTCATCATGAAGACCAGAAACCAGATCAAGTTACAGGCCAGATCTGTGGAGAGGCAAAACCTCTTACAGCCAGAATGTCAGTTTTTCAAGGTATTTTGTGTTATAAAATCACCTGTAATGTAATGGAACATTCTAGGCAGAGCAATGACATATCCACAGAAAAAAGCAGGGGATGGACCCTCAAACAAAAAGTTACATAGTGCACCTTTAAGATAGAATAGACTCCATTTCTTTGCAAAGTCAAATGAAGATAATTCCCACAGTCACTGTGCATAAATATGTGTTGGAGGAATGCTGTTTTGGCTGAGGTCCATGGGTGTTGACTTTGCACAATGAATCAAGTTGAGATTTATATAGTTGGTGCCACAGCTCTCACATCCCTGACCTAATACTCCTCTGACCCAAAAACCAATAAAATGTCCCAATTTGTTTGCAGTGTTAGTGCATACCTGCTGGTTTCCTTAGTATCATTAACCAGTAATGGATCCTGCGCAGAGCTGAATGCCTGGGGGAAAACAAAAGGTGAAATATTACTTTGTCTAAATACTCAAATTACAGCTTTACTGTGAAGTTATATCTTTGCCATACTTCTGGCACAGTTTTCGAACATAACCCAGTTTCATTGTACATTTGCGGTAGTACATTCTTCTAAACCATTAGGGATAGCTAAATTAGAGTTAGGATTGTGGTACCTGGAAAGGGTGGGGTGAAGAAGTGGATCGGTTGCGGTAAAAGCTGCGATTTTCCGGTTGGTCCAAAAGATTCTCCACTGAGGCCGACTTGCCCTGGGATGGACCCCGGCTGTCCCTCCATTTGGGCTGGTACGGCTGACTACTGGACTGACCCGAAGAAGTGAAGAACTGAGCATACCTGTAAGCATACAAGCAAGATTGTAATCAAACTATAAACATAGATAATAGCTTAGAGTGTAGAAAAAAATGTATATAAGGTGAACTATGTCACTATACTTGTCCCCATGGATACTGCTATCCCTGGAAAACCCCATAGTATGGCATTAAACTAATCCATCTTGCATTTATTTCATTATGGATTGCATTTTTATTCTGAGTGTGCTCATCTCTCCACAGATCCGATTGGTAACTTGGCCTGAGTCACCTTATTTTAATAATTTATGTATTCAAAATAAAATTATAAAATATTTATACTGTAATAATAAATGTGACATCATTACAGTCATGATTATGCATGTCACGATAATTACTTTATCAATTATATCGTTCAATATATGAAATATATGAATATATTTTGGAGGCTCAATATTTATCGTGTATACAATTTCTTCTCAAAAATAGGGAGATTGTGGGTATTTTGTTGCAATACAAAAATATTTGAGCTGTAGGAGGTTGAATGAGGAATGTCTATAGCTAATTATAGGTTCAATCTATTATTTGCTTGTTACAGCTCATGGCATTTTATGATGCTGTCTATTTAAAAAAGGGTTTACTGATATTATAATGCATTATTGTTATTGAGTCAGCTGGATAAAGTAGTCTCAATATTATTGTTTATCTGTCTGGAGCAATATACTGTGCTTCAAAACATGGTATTGTGACAAGCCTAGTCATCACACTTTTGAACTCACGTAAAATAATAATATGAAGTCATCATACCTAATAGAGCTGGTAGAAGAGTCCAGTATGCGCCCTGCAGAATGTGGTCTGTTCATCCTCTTCTTCTTGCTCTCCATAGGACCGGACTGAGGCCTGGGTCCCCAGTCGAACGGCTTCTCCCCGAGCGAGTGCCTCTGTCGGGTGGGGGCCGGTGCTTGAGGGGATGGCTGCTGCGGTTCTGCCACTTTCTGTCCCGTTTTCCTCTCCATGTACTCCACCAGGGCTTTGTGCTGGAGGTGCTTCAGACTGCTCTTGGACGCACTGGACGCCGACAACGCACGACCTCTTGTTTCAAAAATTTTCCTTCGAGCTGCCACCAGTCCTGGCTCAGCTTGTTGGAGTTGCTCATCTAATTCCCGCTCCAAAGTAAAGACATCTTCACTTTCATTCCCAAAAGAGCGACACGAGGAATGACTCGGACCTCCTCCTCCGATTTGATGGAGTTTCTCTGGTTCCGAAAAGCACATCTTCTTTTGCTCCTGAGTCAGTCTTTTCCTGCCTCCGATCCGAGCTACTTGCGGTTGAGCCACGTTAGCGGGTCGGCCGTTTTCTTTTTCGCTCTCCTTCTCTGCTTGGTTTTGCTTTTTGATTTCCACTTCGTCCTTGACACTTCCTTTCTCAGTGTCCTCCGAGGTTACTGATGGCGTAAGCGTTTCTGTGGAAGCCTCAGAATCTTGCGATGAGGTGAACTGATGCACTATTGGTCTTATATCTTGCACATTTTGTTTCATCTCTGGTTTTTCCCTAACGCGGTGGGGCCTTGACAGTTGCAGATCCCTCCTTTTGAACGACGTCTCCCTTAGCACCCTTGACTGAACGTCTTTGAGTTGCTCCCTGTAAAACTTCTTATATGAGTGGTCCAGCGTGTTACAAGCCGCATCCATAGCCTGGTTATTGGTAGCTTCGACTTGTGGCTCATTGATTACATCCAAAGCGTTGCTCTTCGCCTCTGTCCTGAACCCTGCCCTGCTTGCTCCAGTGAGTTGATACAAAAGCGGAGTTGTTTCTTTGTTTATCCTCTCGCTAGCTACATCCCCCAGTGACTGTCTGTTGACCCTTTTCCCCTGCTCCTCTCTGACAGGTTTGAGTTGCTCATTGCTTAAGTTAACCACCTCTTTTGTCTGTTGTAATGGGCTAGTTCTTTCAGGCCCGCAATAAAAAATAGGGTTGCTTGGGGTATGCCTGCCTATGTCTCTCGATACATCAATCTCCTCTAAGGCCTCCAAGCTTCGAGAAGACTTGCTCAAACTTTGACGCAGGTTCTCCTCTCCGCACATATTGATTACGTTATTAGATTTTGAAATGTTCACAAATCCTCTATCATCTGATGTTAAAGCGCACGGGCTCGGTTGTAAAGGCCGGAAAAGATTCTCCATTGTGCTGTGGCATCTTTCTCAACTTGTACGTTTCTAGTTCGCTCCCACTCTCCGAGCCGCAAACAGAGGACGCGTAAGGTCTCATTTCTGAATCTGGAGTTGTTTTGCAGACCCCGGTCACGAAGTAAAACTGTCCTTTATGTTGGATGCTGCTGTTGATAACGTTTTGTCCGATGCTCCAAGACCTGTATTCTCGATGGGAATCTGGGCCTGTAAAGTCGTTTGTTGAATAAGCTCGCCGGCGATTATGTTCAGCTTGATTTGCCGATTTTGGAGGAGATTGACTCAGGTTTTTCCCCATTTTCGGCTCCTCAATTTTCCGATTACTGTTCACGGCGAAGTACTCGGGATTTGTTTGTGTTAAAGTCTGGCTGTTGGGCAGGTGGTGAGGATGGTAGCTTGGTGGTTGGGAGGCTCTTCGGTACGCATCCTTTTTGACGCTTGATTTCTCCGCCTGTTGTCGTGGCGATTGGGATTGTGCCTGCTGAATTTCCTGATGCGTCCAGCTATTCTCCAAATTTTTCGTCGCGATAAAGCTATCCATTCGGGTTGGAATTGGAGGCGGGTTGTGTGTAATGAAGCCTCCTTGTGATGCCAACTCCTGCTTCGTCATTGGTTTGTTATTGTTGAACCCACTTTCGCCATTGTAGTGGTTCAGATTGTTGTTACTATGTCTGTACTGTTGCGAAATTGCCTCCACGGACCTATATAGCTGGTCCATTGTTTTCGGATCAGACTGTAAAACTTGAGAAGGGTTGTACAATGATTTCACATACTTCAAGTCAGCGTACTGGCTAAAAGAGCTAGGCTGAAGATCGTCCGGTAGAAACGGAGAGGGGTAGTCGGGAGCAGTGGACCCTCCCGAGAAAGAACTGTACGCTGAGTCGCCTTTGCCGTGCTGGTGGTGGTGGGCAAACTGTTCAACGATGCTGCTGTTGGATTTGGCAGGAGAGAGCCGGCTCATTGGCAAGCTGAGAGGATGCAAGTCTATGTTACTCATTCTCTCAAAGTGGAAGTTGTAGGAATCCATGGAGGAAAGGGGCGGTTGGATGCAGGCAGTAAGCAGGCATGTGGTTTTGTTGTGGGCGAAACTGGCCGATTCACAACCATGACATTTACAGTTCAAATATCTGCCGCTCTAGGGGGCACTTTAGGTCATCTTCCACGCTTTTCCTTCAGTCAAAATCCCCTTGGCATGGTCAGGTTAGCAGCAGCAGCAGCTCCTGCCAGGACAAAACAAAACAAAAAACGGGTTAATCTGGACTCAAAATCTGTCAGTTGTAGAGCTTGTCTCATGCAACTTCTTCCACTCGACTGAAAAACTCAAAATATGGGTGCTCATGTGGTACCAAAACCTAAATAGTACCGAGAATCGCCGAAACCAAACCTGTCACGAGAAGCTGTATCGCAAAAACAAAACTACGATGAGTAAAAACATCTTTGCACAGCTGTTTGTGTTGAATTGTTAACTTGTATGTTAGCTAAAGCTCTCAACTATTGTTATTACCACAGCTTCAAAGACTCAACCTACTTACTCACATACCTATTCTACTGCAACAATCTTCCTGACTCACGCACAAGAACAACTTTGCTTGGCGTTTCTAGGTCAAATGTAGCATTATAATAAATTGAATAGGATAAATGACCTGAAATCTACATTTCTGGTTTATAGCATTAAGATAAGCCATGAAATACACTGTCTATCTATGTTTTGATAAATTAACTACTATAATCTTATCCCAAGTCCTATCTATTCAACAAATCATGCTTTTTTCTCACACTTGCACTATCCTGGTTTAGTAGGCCAAAGAACAGACCGCATGCTGAAGTAAGGCTCCCTAATACTGATGCATTATGGGGTTTAACAAAGGGCATTGAGGTTAGCCATACACGTTGCAGCATACAGCAGAAAAATGCAAAGAATCCTGCACAGACGTAGAGAAAAAGGGAGGATTAGGCATGTGATAGATGTATGGTATAATACATTGGACTGTACAGTATTGTGGCCACTGAAGGCTTGACCAAGTGAATAGAATGACTTGTCTGGGCATGTTTGGGCTAATGGACGAGGGAGTTACTATGGCAACTGGGTTTAATTAAGCGTTTTTGGTCTAATTATTCTTAACTTTATTCATGCAATTTGCATAAGTGGATATGTCTTTACGATCTTGCAAGAAAGTAAAAAAAATATATAAAATAAAACAACAAACAAATAAAAACAAGATAAAAATAGTGTTTTCAGGATATATCTTAAAACATGAGATTGTTGACGTATTTATATAACATCAAGATTAAATTAGCCTTTTTGAAATTTCTGTAAAGTTTAAATTTAGTAAGTTAAAGTAACCCAGTAGTTCTGGAATTTGACATAAAAATTACAAATTGTTGTTTATCTATGTCGCAAATAACACAAATGATCAACATGGAAATAAGCCTGTAATGATAACAGATTTTGCTGGACGATTAATTTACCAATAATTTACTGCAATAAATGATAATATTGACATTTTGACAATTTTCAACTAATACAATAACCATGGAATAAAAATGCAAAGAAGGAACTGCAAGACAACCAAAAACAATAGGCTTAATTACAATAGACTTGTTCACATAAGAACAGCCTCATGAAGTCTGGTTTAATACAGAATTTGTTTTCTAATATCCTAGTTAGACTACTAGGGCGGGGTATCATCATGAAGTTGCCGATACGATACATACCTCGATAAGTAGGCCACGATACAATATGTTTTTCGATACAGTAAGCTTTGGATTCAATATGATATATTTCAAATCAACTGATACTAATCAAGTTTGTGCAAAGTAAATACAGAAAAAACACCCATTTTACTCAAAACTGTGAAAATGTCAACACAATTGTAGCTCTTACACAAAATAATTGACTAAAATATACCTAAAAATGACTCTTGATGATATATCGATACAGCAGCCCACGATATCAATACTGTATCATCAAATTAAACAATACAATATATCGATATTTCAATATTTTCGCACAGTCCTATAGACTACAGTCCACATTTTAAGGCTGTGTGCCACCAGAAACCTGAACAGAACTGAAGAAGCCATTTGGATCAGCAGTGTAAAGTCTTCACTCTAAAAACTTTTATCCAGTTGACAGTTGACCAGTTTAATTTTCTTTTGCTGTGGATACTACCTGGATACAGCAAGGACTTGTTAACAAAAATGCACTTGAATAAACCATTGCTGAACCAACACGCATTGAAATAGAATTTAACGCAGCCAAAAAAGTTATTGAGCTTGTTCAAAGTTATCGTATGATTAATTGATTTATTGAATATCGTTACAGGTCTACATGGAAATACTTTTTTAGAACAATCTTCCTATAAACCGCAATTTTAGGTATCAAAAATAACCCATACAGTACCAGAGTGTGTCATTTCACCTTTTATATAGAACTAAATCTGTTAAAAACGCTTGAAAAAATAATAATCTGATATCCATTGCAGGTCCTTGTATAACCCGATCTAATCAAAGTAAATATGTGCACAGGTGCATCCTTGATCTAACCTAGTTTTTAATCATTTTAATTGCTGTCAATATGAAGCCAGGCCTTTCTCTAATCTCTTCACCGCATCCATTATTGAAGACCAGAGGGCAGAGGCTGCGAATTGGGACATAATAGTGGGTTGAGTTTTATAATGACTTCTAATGAGCGGTTGTCTCCCTGTGGACCGGTGTCTGTGACTTTGAGAGGTTGCAGTCACATACCTGTCATGCTCTGCGCTGTTAGCAAAACAAACACCACACCCAGGCAAACAGGCTCGTAATGAAATGTATAAATAGGTCGCTAAATAGTTATCTGGCAGTGATGGTGACTGTGAGAACTCGAGATAGTTTTCAAGCATTTTGAAGCCATTTAGAATTAGAACAAGTTGTTTTTGCTCTTCTGAATACAAAAAATCTGTTTGGCGTATCTCTGACCATACATTGCAATATCACTTTTAACCACGCATGCTGTAACTGTGCACATGTGCTTCGAATTTCAGAGATAACAAGGCTCAAGGAAGTCAGACTCTTAATGACTTTTTTGTCCAGGAAACGTCACTAACGCACATGTTTAAACTAAGGCTCGTTTCATTTATGATACAACTTCCGCAGTGGACAAAGCTACATTAAAATACTACACTACACTGTATGTGACAAAAAGTAAAAGTATCATCCCAACTGTAAAATGGTTAATAAATGAAAACAAACCCAATCCAACTAAAATCTGGTAGACATTGTGGACATTGCACAGTTAAAAGACAGTCAGAAGTAGTTTAGTTTAGTCTTTATTTGGAGAGACAATGTACTGAGTCATTAAGCTCTTAAAAAACAGAGATGTTATGCACCAGATTATAGCTAAATAGCAAGTTTCCATCTGCAGTCCCTAGTAGACTTGTTAGGTTAATTGATGAGGACTACCAAAAGTGAATTCACAAACTTCTCATAAGTATTATTAACAAACTCACTGCTATTTCTTAAAGATATACAGACCTGGAGTGTGTTTTGTTTTGTTTCATTCACACATGTTTAACGCACAAACCCTACATGGATAGTAATACAGGAAGTGCTCCACTGTGTTTTTAAACTCCATACACCTTCACAAGAATCATCTGGATAATTTCTGAACTGGAGTTGCCAATCTCTACTGAATCTGAACTGAAAACTACCACTACATGACATCACTAGGTGGAACAGAGCATTTTGAGCTTTAGAGGTGTAGACAGATAAACGATACAATAAACGATTACTCCAACATGTGTGAATGAAACAAAACACAACTCTGGGTGTTTTTGATGAGATAACAACAATAAATTGTGTCTCAAAGCTTACAAGAGTCCATTTTGTTGACAATATTCAAGTACTACAAGTAATACAGGATAGACTCCAATTCAAATTCCAGAGAAGAGAAAACAATAATAAGAACAAAACAAGGACAGGCCATTGTATAGTCTGTATTTAAATATGAGCGTATGCAAGAAAGCTGGGAGTGTTGAGTTTGTAGCCTGTAGTAAATTCACTGTACAAGCTCAAAATTCCATTGCAAAGATATCCCTTGGTGGTCGTTTTGCATATTCACAAACGCACTTGCCTACATCCATTGAGGCTACAGTATAGAGGGGGTTTCCATGTGTTTATATTGAGCCGTCTGATCTACCGAAATGCCCAGTGAGTGTGTATGTGTGTGTGTGTGTGTGTGTGTGTGTGAGATGGGTTAGCTTCCTCCCTCTCTCTCTCTCTCCTCTCTTCCCTCTCCGAAAAAGAGAAAGAGGCTCCCAAACAGGGGTGCGATCAAGTGGAAGTGATGTAGGGGACAGGCGGTGACAAAATGTACGGAGAGCGGAGCGGGGAGGGGAGCTGCTTTGGCTAGGGGGCAACCGGCCGAAACAAATACCCTAACACGCAAGCCACAAGAACGAGAGCCAAAGGGGAACCCAAACAAAAGCTAAAGGTTGAAGGATGTCTTAGCGGTCGGCGATGCTTTAAACGAGCCAGGTCAGCGTACAAGAGTGTGTTTCCAAAGTTTCGGAAAGTTTTTAAAGAAGAGAAACTTACCTTGGCGTTCCCGGCTTCCATTTAAAAGATAAGGCTCTCTAACATAAACAGCAAGTGCAGCGCTGAGTTCGCAATCGGATCATCTTTCGGGATATCCAAGGAGCGGTGGGTATAGAAGACTTTGTGTGAGCAAGTTTCTTCTCTTCCTCTCACTCTCTCTCTCCTCACCCCCCGCACCGAGCGAGAGCAAAGTCTACCGCTGTTGCCGCTACCGCTGCTGGCCGGGCCCCCCCTGATTGGCCAGCCGATGACGTCCAGGATCTGTGCACAATGAGAGCGGCGGAGGGGGAGAGAGAGCGAGAGAGAGAGATAGAAAGGAAGGGAGAGAGAGAAAGAGAGAGAGAGAAAAGAGGCCTCGCATTCCTGGCTGGCTTCAAAGACGGAGCAAGGGCCATTCATTCCCGAGGCCCTGAGACCGGCGCATGGAGACTGGTCTGAGAGAGAGAGGCAGAGAGAGAGAGAGGAGATAGGAGAGCTGGAGAGGGGGGAGAGGGACAGATGGATGCAAAGAAAGAGAGAGAAGATGGAGACAGAGAGTGAGGAAAAAGAGAAAGTCTATGAGAGAGAGAAAGTGAGAACTAAAGATAGAGAAGAGCTGGTGTATGAATAAGAGGAAGGAAAGAGAGATATGGAGACGGGGGGA